AGGGTCTTTTGCTAAACCCCAAACCCTCACCCCTTTTACCACAATGCAAGCGAAGCTCCATGTGGCGACCAATGGGTTGAGAGTTTTAAGGGTTTGAGGTGGGAACTTTTGGTTTTAAGGGGGTTGTGGCGCGATGATGGGGGATATGTAGGGTTAACATCGGGTCTGAAAGGATGGAGAATCGCATGGCAAAGAACATCGGGCATGAACTGGAAACTACTACTTCGTGTTTTGGTAGAATCGCGGATTTCAACATGCATACATATATATATATGTATGTATACACCCCGCAAACTACTATATCTACTTGCTATGGGCATCCCCAAGTAGATAAACAGGTTTTTGGAAGTGACCCTAAACCCTAGACCCAAAACCCTAAAGCCAGAACTCTGAAACCCTAAACCCCTAAACCCCTAAACCCTAAACCCCTAAATCCTAAACCCTAAAACCCTAAACCCTAAGGTTTGCAAGTGACCCTCCAGCTGTCCGCCTCTGGCTTTCACGTGACAACTCATGCCCCTCTGCATGATGCACGGACTAGGGTGTAGGGTTTAGAGTTTAGGCCGATAAGGTTTAGGATTTAGGTTGTAGGATTTATAAGGGTTAAGTGACCAGTAGACTGGCCACTTCCAAACCTGAGAAGTATATAAAAGTGGCCATCCAAAGAATAGGACCTCAAATGTAAACCAACTTATAGTGAGGCTTCGGGTCCAACAGCTTGAAGTTCACGTCGAAATTCTGCGCGCTGTCTTCCGAGCAGACTTGTCTAAGCCTACAGTTCTTGCGCGAAGACATGGAGGAAACCTTACTGGCAACTAGTCTATTCGAACCTTAAAGCTCCCCCCAATAATGGGGTTGATTAGGGTTATATTGGGGTTCTACTGGGGATAATGGAAAAGAAAATGGAAACTACCATAATAGGGTAAAATACATGCGGTGAAGGCCAGACAAGGTGAAACGAGTTCCTACACTCACAGCGGCTCAGAGGCAGGGGGGGAGGGCTTAACATGCAGAGCCCATATTACATCTGTATTACAGTGGCTCGCAAGCAGGGCGCTAAATCCAAAACCCAAGATGTTTGGGGGAATGTGCCATGCGCCATTCAACTTCCTTACCATTCATATGGAGGTTTTGACTGCCTGCCCTTGAGACGCATGACCCATGTGGACCCGACAGACTCCGCTTCCTGTCGCTCCCAGGACTCCAACTGACCCAAAAGAACTCCCTGAATCCCTGATGTATGTTAAACCATGGTCTTTTTGGGCGTCTTATATGGGGTTTGAGGCTATTATTTTACCGTCTTGAGGGGTTTAGCTACTTTATGTTGCAGATTATAAGCTTTGCAGCCAGAACCCTACACCCATGTGTTGTCATGCACTTGATAGGACCTAAGCCTGCAACCCGAAACCGTCATATCCGTTGCATACTCGGGGCGCAAGGCAACAAATCATGTAACAATCGAAAGACATGCGGATGAAACGCTTCTTTACATGAACCATAATCTAAACTCCTAGCATCCCCCTTAATAACCCCTATAGTTGTCCCCTATATAACCCCCTATATATCCCCCCTTTAAGGAGTTTAGACTATAGCTCTTATGGTTGGCTTAGGGTTGCCGCAGGGTTGAGGAGCTTTGTGCTCGTCTGTCTCTTGTGTCTCTCTCTACTATATACCCCCTATTTCCCCCTTTTACTACAGGGATCCTATACCCCAGGGTTTAGGGTTTAGGTTACCCCTGTTTAAACCCCTGAAACCTACAATGGAGTATAGTATCAGCCCAAGAGCGCCGAGGCATAGCAGTGACGGAAGGGGGCTGGAAAATACTGTATTACATGGTGGTTTTATGGGGGTTATGTAGGGGCAATTTTGTGGTAGTATAAGGATAATGGAAGGAAATTGGAAACTACTACATTAACTTGCATTGGGAGTCTTTTGGCTTACAGGTTTAGGTCTTGGCTTCTGTTCACTCGCTTTTGAGTTTGGGGCGTAGGGTATGTTTAATGCGAAGCCTGTGATGACGCTCCAGCCGTGGCCTGGAACCCCTAAGGAGGCTACGAAGACGATGGTCCAGTTGGACTTGGCCTAAAGGGTGGGATTCCGAGTTTGCTTGGGGGAGGCTATAAACTAACTTGGAACCTGTATGTGACAGGTTTAGAGTGTAAGGTTTGAAAAGGCTAGGGTGTAATGGACTACAAGAGTGAAAGTTCCATAAGAAGATTGTATTCCTAGTTATGCAAGCTTCTACATGACTTGCAGCCTAGGGCCTAACTAAGCCCGAAATCTAATGCCCTATCAGCCCTAAACCGCCCAGGCTTGACGGTACCGGCCGGGCTCACTTCCGACGCTTGTGAATAAGTTGAAAAAACCTCAGCTCATGCAATTTCAAATAGATGTTGGGATTTCGGAGTTTAAATCAGGACTTCGCAACGTCACCGGCACGGGCCACTTGTTGTTCTTGAGGGGGTTCCTTTACAGTAAGGCTCACTAGGGGCTAGGCAATTCGAATTTCCAAAAAACACGCATAATGGATTTGAAGCAATTCTTCGCAAATATGCCGTGTACAGCATGAACTGCAAGCACTTTAGCTTGAGCTAGGTTTCGCTTCATGGTAATCACTGCAACCACATGCTCGCAAGGCATGGCAAATGATAAAGAAACATGACTCTGCAAACCGCTCAATCTGCATCATCTTGACCAGCGTGGCTGCGATCATCATTCTGCGCTTATACTTGCTATCAATGCTGCCATCATGAACATATCCGCTTCTTCTACCAGGTCCGCTGCAAGTATTGCTGTTGCCATGGGCGTGCGACACACATCAGGGCAAAGCTTGCCGCTTCGGGATTCCAAGACTAAGCTACATTTGCTGCCACCCTGCCAAGCCACGAACCCTAAATCATGAACTGATATAGCTGATCTAGCCGGCTAGACAATGTGTCGACAATCGCTAGAGGGGATCCAACTTGCCATTCTGTCACCCAGTCTTTCAAAGTTGGGAATATTCAAGGTATCATATTTGCATCCTTGGGGATTGTACAGATTCCCTCTCAATCAGGGCTATCTAAGGATAAGTACAGCTAATTACAGGCTATCCTTGGGCGAGGGTACCATAATTGGAGGGGAAAAACTCCCACATCCTTTCCAGCCCCAATCTAAGGTTGAGACCATGGACCCCTAGAATGGGCCCCTAACCCTGGGATCCTTACATACCTAGTATATGCTCTATATGTACCCTTAAGGGTCCCTAGAATCACCCTAAAGGGCCTAAGGGCCCATATTAGAGGCCCATACTTCTAACCTTAGACCTAAACCCTAAATTGGTGCTTCCGGGGCGCCGGTCGAAAACCGACCAAGGCAGATTCGCCTTTTGGACCTGACACTTCACAAAGTGCGCGTTTAGGGTTTAGGGGCTTAGGGGTGAGGCTTTGGGGTTTCAGAGGTTTAGGGTTTAGGGGTTGGGGTTCGAACGATTCAGGGTCGTAGGGATTTACGGTTTTAGGGGTTGAGGGGTTTAGGATTATCTTGAACTTGCATTCCTTGCATTGCGTTGTTGGTGCCTGGGACTTGAAGTCCTCCAGACGGTCCTCAACATCTGCCTCGTACTTTTTGAAGAGCTCCTTCAGGGTTTGAGGGTGAGAGAAAAAGGGCTTAGGGTTTAGGGTTTAGGGTTTAGGGAAGGTTGTATGGGGAAGAGAGAGAGAGAGGGATGAAAATAAGCATTCAGGGGGCTAGGTGTTCGAAGGCGTTTAGGTGTTTCTCTTGGACGTCAGGTCAAGGAACAAGGTGGGCGCGCTCATGGAGCTTCTCAAATGACCAAAAAAATTCTGCAAGTTTCTACAAGCCTGCCCTGAAAGGTTGAATCAGTAAAGTACAACACGCCTATTCTGAGAGTGATTAGTCTCTTTACCCTAATACTTAGGGCCTCATCATCCAACGCCCTAATATTGAATGTGCCTATTGATGGGCCAGGAATATTGAGAATAGACGTGTTCAAGATTAGGTAGAGAGGGTTACATGACATAGCGACCCTCACGCATCCTGTACCGGGAAACAGAATCGATCATGGTTTTTGCATCTTCCGGGCTTTGAACCCAAAGCCCCGAATCTAGCAGATGGCTCCTATTAAAGACACCGCGCAAAACGGGAGCACACACTTTTAGCCGTCTACGCCTCATCTTTAGGCCCATATATACATGTATACAAATTTATGTATATGCGAATATATACACATATAGATATAAGCAATTCCTTTAATAATGCCCCATGATCATTACTCTTCCAAGCAAAGGCCAGAGACGGCTTTAAAAAGAGGCCAAGGGGGATTCCTGCAAAAAATGAATTGCAGTGGGTTCTTAGGCACTTTAGGGGGGGGGGGGGTCGCTATAAACAAGAATGGGGAATAGGAGGCTGGTGATCCCGTGTATTTACTCTTTTCGTGTTGTTTTCATATGGTTTGTATCAGAACGTCTGTATAAAATGATCTAACGTGAGCCGCATTAGAATGATGCCTTCATTTTCCAAGTTGTTACTTGTTTGAAGTTGTGTATATAACCCAATATAATCCAAGTAGTCTCCAATTTATTTTCCATTATCCCCATATAACCCCACTATATACCCTATAATCCCTAAATAACCCATTATAGTATGTTCTTAAAGCCAAACGGAAATCTACTTCAATCAAGGTCTTGTTTTGTTGCCTAGATCTCCATTACTTTTTAGGGCACGTTCGCTTTTCAAATTGTGAGTGCGTGTGTACTGTGTGTAAGACTAGCACCGAGAAGCAGGTCTCATTAGAATAAGAAAGTTGCTCTGTCTGATAAATCTGCCGCCATTTCGCACGTTAAGAGAACCACCCCTCTTAATGAATGTTCCGGGCAGATTTGTTATTAGGAGCAAGTGGCTATAAATATATGTAGATGCACACATACGACCATGCTTCTAACAACACCTGTTGCCATGTTGGGCTACGGAAAGAAATCACCACTGGCAAGCCCTCTCTCCTGCAGGCCGAGTTCTCGGTAGATGTCCTTGATTTTCTCCTCCTCTTCACTGCCCACCTGCGGCTTCATGAGCATCAACTTCTCTCTGTTGAGACGGGCTCGCACAACTCTGAGGGTCATTTGCAGGAAGTCTGGGGAGGCTCATGTTCGGAGAGAGCGCGAGGAAATATCTTCGTGTGGGCAGCTGGCGGATCTGTCAAGTCAGACTCATGCCTGCAGACGGAAAACATCATGTCCCATGAAGAGGCTGGTCCTAAAGCATCTCCTCTCTCAACAAGGAGAGCCATCATCTCACCAAGATCATGATGGCAAGACTTGCAGTCAGGAGACTGGGAAATCTCAACAAAGCTGTGAATAAGCCCTTCTTGATCTCAGAAATGGCAGGTCGTGCACCTCGCATTTGCCGTAGTGCTCGTCCAAGAAGGACTTTGCCTGCTTGGCGCCGATCAGTTGGCTTTCTGCATGACGCTTCATCAAAGCTTCCTGTACGCTCATCTGCTGTCATGAAGCTCACAGCCTTAAGGGTCCAAGTACCTGATAAAGTACCTGATAATCATATACTTGCCCAAAACCTGTACCATAATTACTATTACCCAAAATCCAAGTAACTGATTATTGGGTACTTGGACCCTCTGGGCAGACTAGCCCCGACAAACTCTCATATCTGATTGTCAGATTCTAGCCTCTCTACAATCTTATACAGCTGCACAGTGCTGCGGCTTGGGTGTGGAAAGCTGCTTGTGAATGCTTGTGATCCCAAGAAGGTTACGCAGGAGGCCTGAACCCTAAACCTCTAAACTTTGAACTCCTAACGGAAACACCCCTTGACAATAAAGTCTGCACAGTGAGCTCTACTAAGTGGGGGTTTCCCAAAATTGTGGGTACCATTTTGGGGGTCCCCATAATAAGGACTCTATATTGGGGTTCCCTTATTTTGGGAAACTACTAAGTCTGACGGTCAAAGAAGAAGTGAGCCTCCGGAGTGCTTTGCTCGTGGTAGGCATGCGCGAAAAGCCAGCTGCACTTCTTGTCCTCTGGAGTTGGTTTAGTGTTCAGATATAGGGTTTTATAGGGTTATGTAGGGTATTATAGGTTAATATAGGGTTATATAGGGTATTATAGGTTAATATAGGGTTATATAGGGCTATATAGGGTTATATAGGGAGGTTTGGGCTCCAGCGTTTTAGTTTGGGACTTGGGGTTCGGGCGACAAAGCAGAAGCTGGAAAAGCAGGTAGGCATGTGAGCAGCGATGGGTCAAAAACAAAGACAGGTAGACATGGGTTTTCCATAGATAGCAGGTCCGAATATAGATCCCAAAGCTATAGCCCCGATAAAGTACTCCTGATTTTTTTTGGAAGCCCGCACATGGCCTTGCTGACATGACACTTTTGCAGGGCCTCATGAGAGAAGGTTCCATACACGAGGAGCGCACGCTCTTACAGCGTCCCACAGTGACAGTTTGGCAGGCCACTTGTGCATCTGTCGGTGTGACGGGTACTTGCGGGGCTCTCTTGGAACTACCGCATTTCCTGTTTGCATGTTGCTCAGGCTAGGCATCCCTATATAGCCCTATGTATCCCTATAATTTCCCCTAAACCCTAAACACTAAAACTACATATGATGTGACCATTTACCGACGACGCCCAACGCAAACGGCAAGTTGGCTCCTGGATGTCTGTTCCAACCTCAGCTCGCACTGAACTTACTGCTGCTTAGAGAGGAGTATGGGAGTGGATCCCTAAAGTGATTCCTATAGGGTTTAGGTACCCCCCCCCCAATATAGTATATTGGCGTTATATTAGGGTTATATGTTGGAATAATATTGGGATACTGGAAATTCAAATGGAAACTAGTATTTAGGGTTAGCAGGTGAAGGGGAATCTGACCGTTCTGAGACTTTAGTTGGGGCGGTCGGTTGGAGAATCTAAACTGGCCTTAGAACCACAGAAAAAATATAATTTTTGGTTGTTACTAAGATGATAATAACCAAAAGTTCGCAACTACAGTGATCTTCTGCCATTACAGGAAGCGGTAACCTGCGACACGAGTGGCGATTCCTGACTGAGGAGAATAACATTGAGTCAACCCTGAACCCTACACCCTAAACCCTACACTCCCGGAAACTAACATGGAAACCAAAAAGGGGGCTATATGGGTTTCCATGTTAGTTTGGGAGAGTGTAAACCTTCAAGTCTCGGCATACCCAATTTCTCAACTGCCGCACCCCAGGGCTTCTTGAAGGGTTCATCACAGTACCAAAGTAGAGCTGAAGGCACCTTCATCAGGGAAGCTAACAATCCCCTAACTCTGTAACCCCCCGTAAATCCTAAACAAGAAGGGTACCCTTTTTTCCTACTGTTCTGCTTTAATAAGGAGACCCCCAAATAAAAAGGGTAAAAGTTGGGCACTACTGGGGTACCTAGAATACATCATAACATACAAATAGAGGACGTAACCCAAACAAAGGGTCCAGGTAAACCTTTAGCCCCCTTGGAATACGTTTGGGTAATTCTTTAGACAGTAGGATAGATAAACGGCACGTCTCCCAGCGCTGAATCCTGAGTGCGTTACTTTGCCAAGCTCCTGAAATCATGGCTTCAGGGTTTTAGGGCTTAGGGTTCAGGGTTTTAGGGTTCAGGATATGGATTTGGGGCTTCCGCTTTGGCTGCAGCGCCAGGTTTCAGGCTGAAGTATTGCCAGGCTTCGGGGGAAGCAATGGCCCTAAACCCTAAACCCTAAAACTTTGGGCTTTGGCCCGAGAGGCCTGTCTAACGTCTCCCTTTGTTGGCAAGGTCGTGTAGCGATGATGGTCCGTATGCGAGGCTTTCACTGATCATGTATAATGTAATATTTGAATTATATTGGGGCTGTATGAGGACAGTGGAAAAGAACATGGAAATTACTATCATGGGTTAAATAGGGAATATAATATGTGGTACATGAGGAGCTTACCATGATTACGCTGATCATGTATAAGACTGAAAGAGAGAAGTAGCAGCTGCTGTGATATGCTTGTGGTGCTACACCTGTCCGGTACGGCGTATGTAGCAAAGACTGCAAGTAGCGACAGTGCTAGGAATAGTAGACAAAAACTGTTGAAGTGCAGGAAGAGTACGCGCAATTAGTGCTTGCATCAGCGGCAGCCACATGGCCGGATTCGGACCCTCTTACAGAGGATCTATATGGACACCATCGCATCAAACCCTACGCATTAGGCCCTAGATCCGAAAGTTTGAGCAGCCCAAGCCCACAGAAGGGTAGTTTCCAACATTAGGGTCCCCTTGGTTGTAGCTTATATTACGGCACCTAATTTTAGGGGTACCAAAATGGGACTCTAATTTTGGGAAACCCCAAAACGCTATAAACCCCTGTATAACCACAGGTTCCATTTAATTGTCCATTTTCTTTTTTAAGTGATTCTCCATTACTGGGTGATTTTTTGGGGACTACTCAAAAAGCCATATATAACCTCTATATAACATTATGTATCCCTAATTACGGGAAAATACACAAAAGCATCCCTAAACCCTAGGCCCTATAAACCCTAAACCCTAAGCCCTGTTTTCTTTTTTAAGTGATTCTCCATTACTGGGTGATTTTTTGGGGACTACTCAAAAAGCCATATATAACCCCTATATAACATTATGTATTCCTAATTACGGGAAAATACACAAAAGCATCCCTAAACCCTAGGCCCTATAAACCCTAAACCCTAAGCCCTGAAACCTAAACCCTAAGCCCTAAACCCTAAACATCCCTAAACCTTAGACCCTAGACCATAATCCCTAAACTGATTCTCACGGTCTCGCGGCAGTCCTCAGGGCTTGCGAAGGCATCCAAATAATCATCCTGGGCCTCCCAAGTTTCGCCCTGGACCCTAAACCCTTTAGGGTTTAGGGTTTAGAGTTTAGGGTTTAGGGTTTTAGGGTTTTAGGGTTTAAGGTTTAGTTTAGGATTTGGAATTTAGGGTCTAGGGTTTAGAGTTTAGGGTTTAGGGTGGCAGGTTGAACCTAGCAAGACTACATTGTTGTTGTAAGTAGGCCCAAGGGGAGGATATAATCCTGCTCTATATGCCTGGCTATAGTACCCCCACATGAACTATAGTCTAAACTCCTAGTATCCCCCTTAAGAACCCCTGCAGTAGTCCCCCATATATTCCCCTATATACACCCTTTAAGGAGTTTCGACTATGGCTCAAATGAAATACTATCCTCAAGGTGAACCTGGGGGTGTGGGTGGATACAATGGGCCTCCTCTAAGCTTCGTGTAAAATGCACCTCATACAATCAAGTTTAAGAGGCTATGGCAGATACGGCTTGCCTTGCCCAAGCCCATCAATAACCCTAAGGATATACTTGCCAAAAAACCTGCATCAAAATCACTATTACCCAAGACCCAAGTACCTATTTATTGGGTACAGGGACCCTCTGGGTAAGAAACACATGGACCTTCCCACTTCCTTTGGCCAGGAAGACTTGTTAGCACCCAAAACTGGAGGAACCTTCAATCAGCCGCCATGGCGTGGTCCACTGTGCCATTCATGAAGCTGAGGCAAGCTGAAGTCCCATCCTGCCTGAAAGTAGATGCCCATCAACCTCGGAGTCTGACTCTATGAGGTGTGTCAGCCATGTGTTTTGGGGCCTCATGTACTGACAATGGGAACACCAGGGAGAGCTTTAAAGCAATAAGAAGTGTAGTGAAGTTCAGCAGGTGTCGGCTATACCTCATATGCCGTGTGGAGCAAGCTGGCTTCTGAAAACATGTCTCTTAAAAATGCAAGCTGTCCCAACAACACATACATGATCCATGAAATGTCGGCCAGGAAGCAGAAGCGCTTCCCTCGCAGTGTCGAAGGCCTTCTTGTCCCTGACGCCTGTGACCTGCAATCAAAGGGGCGTGGTTCTACTACTGCGACGACTAGGACAGTCCAAGCAAAGAAAGGTAATCAATAAAGCACGAAGAAACAAAAGCGACAACCACAAATCAATCATAAAGCATATACTTATACGTTAACCTTCTATGGCCCTTTTAGAGTGAGCCTCATTGAGCTCTGTTCCTCCCTCTGAATCCATGCTTCACCTGCTTGAGCGCCGTAAGCCTGGACCCTAAAATACTTGAACAAGCATGATTGCTGCTTCATGCTTTCTACATTTACTCCCGAAATAAAGGGGGTCTCAGAGGAACGTCGTCCTGAAGCTTTCAAAAGCCAGTTTCCCAACCCTACCATAGCAGCATTATAATTTGCATCGAAAAAAAGTTAGGTAGGTATTCCGCGCTAACGCCCCTGCCAGTTAAACCAAATTTCGTTTATCACGCAATGATTTCACAGTATAAACCACATCATCGATTTCACGTCCAAATTGTGCGACAGGTGCATCAATTCCAGCATATCACGCGCTTCAAGCGAAAAGAAACACGTCGTCTGTCGTGAAAAATGACACGTCAATGACACTTGAAGTTGCAACGTGACGTGTGAACGCATAACACGCCGTGAAATGCCTACCTTCCCAAAAACCTAGATACGGGAATGGTCCAAGTCCTACATATCGTAGAATCTGGCCCCAAAGGGCCAGGATAAAAACCATAAGTCAGTCTAAAGTATATACCACATAGATACTTGGATCTTTAGGCACACAACCCTCAATCCGGGGCCCCGGTTCACCAGCATCGCCAGTGCCACAGGTAGGTAGAAGGAGTAGAAGGCGGTCTTGTACTTGACTATGAGCTCCCAGCGCTTGTAAGTGAAGTCAGCCAGACCCAAGTTCTTGCACTGAAGATCAAGAAGCTGCCCACATTCAGTCTGGAAAGTTGTCTCCATGAAAAGGTCAACCAGGTCCATGTAATATGGCTCTGTCCAGAAGTGTCGCTTCAAGACCCTGAAGACTAGCATTTCCAAGAGGAAGGCGTCGTTGATTGCTATCTCGTCGACCCCCTCCTTCTTGTACCAACAAACTTGGCCACGGCGCGTCTCGGAGCTGTCCATGAAGTCATCCGCGACCAGGAGCCAGGCCTGTAGCCATTCGATGCACCACCCGAGCACTGCAAGCTTCTTGAGGTCATCGTCCGTCGGCTCCCGGCCTTGTGACTTCATGATCACCTTGCCGCTCTCCACAACCATCAAGCCTCGGTTCATCTTTCCGCCCTTGACGTTGTACTCCAGCATATCTACGATCCACTTCTGTTCCATCTGTGGCAGCTCGTGCGTTGAAGGCAAGGACTCTGTGCACTCGCGAATCAAACACTCACAAACGGAAGTAAACGACTTCACGGCATCTTTTTCGTTGTACTTGGGGTAGCCCTCTCTGATGTTCCTCTCGGGCAACTTGGCTTTCCAGTCAGTTGCTGGGTATCGATGCAGCTCAGGCTGCTTCGGGCCTGAATTGTCCCCAATAAAGCTCAAGGCAATCAACGTGGCAAGGCTTACCACAAGGCTGGTAAACGCATTTGTTGGAAGGGTGGCGAGCCAGTTGTAGTTCGCGGCCAGAACTGCCAGGCAGCAAGTGGTAGAGGCTAGTCGCAGTAAAACAGGAACATTCGCCATCCGGCCCAGCTGCAACTAATGAACCACCAAGGGCGGCCCCCTCCCGTCCTGTGCTGAAGCCAGAACAGGCAAAGGACTCCATGACTCCGATAAACGTTATTTTGTTCTTTTTGTTGTTGCTATTACCATTACTAGTGTTCCTGTCATCCTGGTACAAGTATTCATGCCATTGGATTTAACAACTGCAAAACTCTGATGTCTACAGTCCAAGATGGACACGCAAGCCCAATCCACGCACCGCTTCGCGCCTGTCTTGGAGCTCTTGTGTGACTGCTCGGAGCCCTGCGTCAGGCGCTCACTTCAAAGTCGAACTGCGGGCACTTGCGAATTCATCAGAGGATGTTGTCCGCATCAACCCCTTGTGCCAGATAGGCCTGTAAGGATTCCTCTCGCGAACCTCCACTGTGAGCTGACGCAGCTGGGCCTGAAACAGTCAGGCGTGCACTGGTGAGAGACAAGATACGAACATCTGAGAGCCGTGCTGCCCTCAGTGTTTTGGCTCTTGCCTGACTTATGATGACTCCGTGGCGGCAGAGGGGTCGGAAAAGATCCCATGTGGCACATACTGTTCCAACCACAAGCTTCAAGCTGAATTTCCAAGTCCTAGAATTTCGCCAGCAGCAAACGGACAGACGCAAGCTGATCTGTAAGCGATGCGCCCTTCTTTCGCCGACCTGGCTTTCGACTATACTTTCCACACCCCCACCCGACAGCTGGTAGACCAAACACTTAAGCACAAAGTGTCTGCAGCAAAGAAGCCCATGTCGTCTCGGCTTTCTTCAGGCATTCGGCCTCTGCGCTCCTCCTGGCTGAAGGCCATGGCAGCGCATGTAAGATGATGGGATATATACATATATAGAGGGGTTATATTGGGGTTATATAAGGGGTTATCAAAGGATAATGAAAAAATCATGTAAACTACTATATGTTTCGAAGCACGCTTTTAGCTCCCAGTGAGCCTTCTCTTGCTTCTTGAGCATCTGGATGTGATCCGCCATGTGTTGGTTGTCAGCTATCATGAACTCAACGGAATCACGGAATGCCTGGCATCGGGGGCTGCATGCTGCAGGATATTGGTGGAACACACGATATGAGCCGAATTCCCAAAGCCTCGAAAGCCATGGGAATGTATGGGTTCTCGATGCGCTTTTCCGTATTGTTCTCCATGAAGAGCCGCCTGTCAAGACAGGGCCACCTTGCTTTTCAAACCAGCGGCCAGATGTCTGGGATGCCCACATGATGATGTTGCCATTGTCCCGGGTCTCGACATTCTCGGCCTCGGCGCATGACAGCTTTGGATGTGAGCCTCCACTGGGCCACTGGGCGCAGCGCAAAAGTCGTGACAATGCTTTTCAGAACCAGCAGTGCATTGAGAGAGGACTGCTGGTTCTTGGAGAAATTTTCATCCACAGCCTGAAACGTCCACTTCAGCGCGTGACCGATGAGAAGGAGACCCCTGGCTCCTGGATCAACTTTTCCACGAACTGCATGTTGATCCGCATGTTGCTGTTGGCGAAGACAGACCTAAGAACAATTCTGGGCATGCTAAACTCGGGCATAGGTGCCGCAACTCTTGAAAGGTGCACCTCAAGGAGGAAGCAAGACTTTTTAACAGGTATCTAGTGTCATGCCTTCAACCCCCTGAAAAACAGCGCAGCCCGGCAGGCCATTGAGCCCAGCACACAAGCATCTGCGAAACTGGGACTTGCTCGGCCAGTGCAATGCACGACACCAAGAACTCAAAGACCTGGGGATCCGAGTATGGTTCACATGAACGGGACGGCTGCGGCGCGTGTAGGTTTCAATACCTGGGATTCGAGCTTCCTTCTTGACAAAAAGACCACGATAATGCGGCTCGCACTCGCAAAAGGACTTCAAAAACTCAACCTTCGACCGGTTCTGCTTGGGTGTTTGTACGCATTGAGTGCTCAAGCATCACAGCTTCAGGAAAGGCAGGAGCGGTTGCGTGGAATGCGGTGTAGGCCAGAGAGTCCTGTGAAGGCTGCCGGGATGCTAGCTGGCAATATGAACCTAGCATACAGGCGAATACCTTCCTTCCTTCCCTCCCCGAATGACAGATTCCCTAATATACACTCCTATATACTGTAGCCCTTCATATACGGACGCCTAAATGGACCCCTAATTTTTGGAAATCTCCCCACCTCCTCTGCGTTTGAGTCGTAGAGCAGGCTGTTTCGGAGTCGGTCTGATGCTTTCAGAAGCTGAAGAACCCGAAGTGCCACCAGCTCGACCTCTTCTGTTTAGGGTTTAGGGTTTAGGGTTGTACCCACTGGGGTAATATTAGGGTTATATTGGGGTTATAATGGAAAAGAAAATGGAAACTATAGGGATTATAGGGTACATATTGGGGTGTATATGGTGATTATATGAGGGGTTTCCGTGGGGCGTAGAGGGGATTACATGCAGTTTAGGAATATTATCCAAATGATGGAGGATCAAATGGGAGAGAACATGGAAATGATGTGTAATGTGGGAGTTTTTCGTAGTGGATGATAGGGATTAGGGCTTCCAAAAATTGAGGCTGCCCTTTAGGTCCTGATATTACTGACTACACGTAGCATGCTGGTGTCTACACCAAGGTCTCCCCATTTCTGAAACAACCACATGCTGCTCAAAACTGCAAAGCTGATGAATGCCTCCTTGACTACTATTATTACGATTATTACTATTCTTACTATTGCTGCTATTTTTATCATTATTACTACTGTTACTATTGATGCTATTATTACCATTCTTTCTATTTTTCCTATATTTACTATTATTACCATTGCTACCATTATTAGCAGGCCTTCTTGTAGTGAATCAGATGACCATCGCCTTGCTCTGCCACAGCCTCAAGTCACCTATAATCTAAACTCCTAGTATCCCGCTTAATAACCCCTATAGTAGTCCCCTATAGAGTCCCCTTGAGTCCCGTATACAAGCTCCTTTAAGGAGTTCAGACTGTAGCTCAAGTTCTGTGTGGTAAGCACAAGTCTTGACCTGACACCGATGGATGGATGCAGATTTGCATCCAAGCTGCCCCGAAATGCCTGAAGAGCTTGATGAGCTGGTTCTTGGGACCTGGAACATCACAAAAAACACATATCCCCCCTACGTAATCCCTATCTATCCCATTACAACAATGGTAGTTTCCATGTTCTTTTCCATCATCCCCATATAACCCCTATATAACCCATATAGTATATTAGTAGTTTCCATGTTCTTTTCCACCATCCCCATATACCGCCCTATAGAATCCCCTTACCCGTCCCCACCAGAGCAACCCCCGCCTAGCAGAGGCAGGTGTGGTGTCAGCTTCAGCCTCCAAGCCATGGAAGATGGGATGGCGATGTCAACTCATTAAGTGTACCATAGGGTTTAGGATCTCGAAGTTTAGGGTTTAGGGATAATAGATATTTGGGTTATATAGGGATAATGGAAAAGAAAATGGAGACTACTATAGTATACTGGGGTATATATTGGGATATTTAACTCGCTAAGTGTAGCAACAGGGATATCGGGGTCTATATTATAGGGGATATATTGGGATAATGGAAAAATGGAAACTGCTTTTTTTATGGGACCTTTTCTCCAAGCCCGAAGGTTAGGGTGCAGGGTTTAGGGCTTAGGGGTTGTTATAGGGATAATGGAAAATCAAATAGAAACTACGGTAATATAGTGGGCAATCTAGGGGTAATGGAAAATAAAATGAAAACTACTATGGGGGCCGGCCGCTTGCCTGCAAGTTCTAAGAAGGCGCGGCCTGATCGTAATTTGGCGATCGTACTCCGGAGAGAAGTTCTGAGGATCTTCCGCGTTGTAACAGATGAAGAGCCTGAAGAATGCAACTGGCTCCTTGTCATAATCTGTGTGGCAAGGAAGGTTGCTTGAATCAGTGGCTGGCTTGAATGCACCGTGGCAGAACTTCGCGTCAAGCTCGGTGATCACCTGCGAAGGACTTCGCTACGGCCAAGCCTCATTGCGAAGCCTGCAGCAGGCATGTAAAGATCATGTGAAGGATGGCCTGCTGGGTCTCCTCTTCCATGTTGTCATCGCGGGGGGCTTCTTTCCAGTCCTGAGTTTGAAGTGTTTTCTACATTCTTCATTATCCTGCACAAGCCATGTTGCCTACTCTCAGGTGTAGACTGTGGCCACCTTGCGATAATGAGAGCCTGTCTTGTCGGTGTAGAACGACATCCAGGCCTGCTGCAATCTGCGCACTCTCCCGACATTTGACAACAAGCCCTGCTCAACCTCCGTTCAGGAAGCAACCGTGGATTCAATGCCATTCAGCACCACCAAGATGACTCTGGTGCCTTCTGCTGCGCCAGGTGATGGCTGCGCCTGAGATCTTGTTGGTGATGCCCTTCAGCTTGTGGCTAAGGTCACAAGCTAGGGGTCCGGCCAGATCTGGGCACCATCGATGAACATGCCCGTGAGCGTGACCTCATTGCTTTAATCTTCTGTTTTGAGTTCAAGCAATACAAGCAAGCGCAACCCGAGGAGACTGCATTTATGCACCAGATGCTGACACGGCCTTGGCAGTGGAAGCACCCTGTAACTAAATGAGAAACTCCAGGTCTCAGGGGCGGCAGCGTGAGTCCACTTGAAAATGTCTGGAGAACGCTTTTATCTTCTCGAGTTTCGCAAGCTGCTCATCCTTCCAAGTCAGGAACGGGCCGGCGTTTCAATGCCGTTTCGTTGCCTGCTATTACCTTGCCTTGAGCTGCACCGCAAACGCCGAGTTCCATCCTCGGCTACACTCGGGCTTAGCGAACAAGCTCATCTTGGTCATTCAGATGAAGTCAGAGGAAGCTGAGATGCCGTCCCTCATAGATGCAATCTTCCTTGAAAGCTTTGCCTGCCTCATCAGACTTCACGCGGGTGTACCATTGGTCCTGCAACAGCTCTGACGGATCACTGAGGCCCCCAAAGTCATGCGAGGCGTGCGGTTCATGCACAAATGTTGTTGCTTTCCCTTGTCCTTGCCAACTTGATAGGTCAGGTGCAACACCGTTGTGTCCTTGCTTTGGCTGCACATGGATGCGGCTAGGGCACATGCATGTCACCGGAGCTTTGCACTCAGGCGCGCACGGGCTCTGCATGATCTTTGTACAGGGACTGCCACTCTTCTTGGATGGTATCCTTCGCAGTCCATGTTTGACCAGTTTTGGCCGCACTTGGCCGCACAAGCTCATGTTCAAATTAGACTTAGACCCGACAAGCCCTTTGCAGTCAGGTGAGTCTACACAGCATCGAGTTTGCAGGGCTGTTTCAAGGGCCGATCACCCCGGCAATTGTATTTCAGGCTCACTGGCCATGGGCACGTTCAGTTCCTGCTCAGTCCAACTGCAGTCAATTTCAATGCACCCCTCACTTCTCTGCACGGTCGATGAGGTTGTGACAGCCCACATGTTCTACTCTACTCTACTCCCAATCTGAGATTCAAGAGCCCTCAGTGGCCTTTGGCAGCACAAGCCAAAAAGTCACAGCACATGCGCAAACTTCTTTGCCTCTCGCTTGACGAGCAGCCCCTTTCCACGGCGAGGTCGCCCGACATTGACTCGGACCACCTGAGGAGTAAGGTTGGAGGGGTGAGCTTTGAAGGCCTTGAAAAAACATGGCCCAAGCCTGCCCCATGCCATTTAAGATGATGCACGGCACCATTCCCTCCTTACTAGGAGAAGGTTCAAAGAAGCCCGCAGTACAAGAAGTGTCCAGACTCTTAGAATCCGGCATCAACTTCACGTCGAATTGCCCCCACTCGGAACCTGGGCTTAAGACTCTCTGCTGGGTTCGGTGCTCGGTCGCTGCAGTCCGCGCCCGTCAACCACGATGAACATAGCTCGCTTCGCCTAATTAGGGCTCTGCTGGTTCACCAATGCTGAAGAGAAGGTCCTCGGGCCTCATCCGTGTAGTCAATCTCAACGCCCACGGTGCTGCCCTTCCTGGGTGCAGCTTTGGCAGATGAAAGACAAGGCAGGTGCTCAACCGGAGGCCCCGACTTGAACCCGCCGAATTTGTCTTCGGTTCGATGTCCGCCTTGTGGCAGCTGGAAGACAAGACTCACTATGTAGGATTCAACATTCGTGCAGTCCATTGTGCGGCCACGTCACTAATGTAAAGGTGGCCAAACTCGTCACAGCCAAAGAACCCCTGGAAGCATGACCAAGCAGAATTTCAACACATATGCTGCTTCATGCGTTATTCATGATGCCCTGGCTGTCGCCAACATGACTTCAATGTAGCTGCAAGATGTTCATGGCTTTTTTTGTCCCACCACGCCTTTGTGGCTCCAAGCTTCCGATGCGGGAAGGGCTGTACTTGCACCCAAAGCTAACTCGCCACGCAAAGCTCGAAACGCAGGGCAACCTTCAGCCCCTCAAATCGAGGCCAACAACACAGAAACGGGCATCATTTGTACAGTCACTGCCAGGGGGACTCCTCCCTGGCTGAACTCGCCCGGCAGAGTCCATGTGTACAGCGGAAACTAGACTGCTTCTGCCCACAGGCATAGCACCACTCACAATGGCACCTGCATCGCATCATGTTGCCTTAGCAGTCTGCGATCTGGCATGATCTAGCCACGCTCCGAAGTGTCGGACCTGTTCAGCAAGATCCCGTGAAACAGGGCAGCTTGGAATTGTCGGAAAGCGCACGGGACACACCCATGCCTGTCCCTTCCCATCTGAACTTTGAAGACACAAACAGCTGCCCGATGTATATACCAGCGCCATGCCCTTCCATCTTCTTGCGGCACACCTACACCCTCAACCTGCAATGAACTAGGCCCAGCAAAATCACCAAAGCAGCCTAGTTGCAACCACCAATGTGTTGCGTCAGTACGCCACATCCAGGACACGGCTTGGGACCTTGGACTGGCTTACTCAGGGGGCCGATGGATCGATGGGTGATTCTTCCTACCTAAGCGTTCTCTGTTTCTCTCCTGCTTGCTATCCTCATCTGATCACGAGCACTCGCAGGTAGCCTCTGACTTCATACTGTCTCAAAGAAGGAGAGGTTGCTGTCCCCCTCACCTTCTCTTGGTAGGTTTGCTCAGTTGCTCACCGCTGGAATCACTTCCCAACCATTGCAGGCTGAAATGGTACGCCCTGAACGTGTAGCTTCTCCACAACGACACCCTGAAAGCTCAAGCACTGTCCCGTATAAGTTCCCTTATTATCTTATCATCCTAGGTTCTGGCATCCCAGACACCACCGGCAGACTCATCATCCAAGCGAGATGCACGTCGCCTTTGCTCCTTCCAGCATTGGCCAACTGTTCCCCCGCAACCACTCAAGGTCCATGCTGAATTCTACCAGCACCATGCGCATTCTTGCGGAGGCTTTGTTCTGATTTCGAGAACATTGCAGCTGCAGCGGCGCACTCGGGAAGAACTGTCACCGCAAGAGTTTACGCCAAAAAACTGGTCAAACATGACCACCACCACCGCCGCCGCCCTGGCTCTATATCTACTGCTGTCAGGATCCCGCCGCTGCCCGCTGCTGCTGCTGCTGCTGCTGCTGCTGCTGCTGCTGCTGCTGCTGCTGCTGGCCTTCTTCAGCACCTCTCTGACCATTGTTGAGGTGACGCTTACTTACTTCATACTAATCCCTCTGTATTTGGTTCGTTCTTCGGGTCATTTATGTTGTCTAGGGCATGGGTTGCCTGCACCCATTGCTGGCGCAGGGAACCACGCTGGTAAACCATAATTGTCCATAATTTCCGACGCTGCGTCTAAGTTGAAACCATACACCCTGCCATCATTCAACCCCGTACTCCAAACCACCTCCAAGCCTAAATGACGAGCCTGTGAAGGAACGAGAAGCCCTCGCGCCTCCCGGCGCCGCCCCTCACGTTCCATTTCTTCACGCTGGAGGATGTCGTCACCTAGGTCTTCTGGGTCTTTTGGAAAGGCTCGGGTTTACCTTGAAAGTCTGCACGAAGCGGTCCAAGGGCTCAGCAAGCAGAACCCGAAAACATGACCCCCAAATACAGATTTGAATCTCATCTGTCGAGATATGTGGGATATGGTTTGCTTCTGAGATGCATCGATGTCCGCCTGCAGGCCAAAAGACTCCGCACCTTCTCAGCTTTTGTCAGGGTGCTGCTTGGGTGTGTTGACATGACGATGGAGGGCAAGAAAGCTTTCCTCGTATGCAGCACCCAGAACATCCGAGAACTATAAGAGAAATATGAGAAGGAAGTCAAACGCACAACCACTTCAACCGTGCTTCTACGAAACTTTTGTGCGATCCTGATGCTCCCCAGGCTTCAATGCTTCCTACTTGTTGCTTGCCTGCTTGCCTTTTGCGCTGCCCTTATACCGGAGCCGTAACTGGGAAGCACTGGGTTCGTGATGCGACGATGTTACGAACATTGTTGGTTTCCTTGTTGGGCTCTGTGTGAGTTGGCAAAGGCGAAGAAAAAGCGCTGATCGGTGAGCCAGCTAAGACTGAAACACAAACATGTGTAGGACCTCAAGCCCCATAGCCATGCATATGACTTCCCAGGAAGCTCCCACTATCATTAGATGAGAACAAACACGCGCCTCTTGCAATGGAGTCCTGAGATTGCCAGAACTCTTGAAAGAAATGCGTATGCTTGCTGGATCGGCAGCGACAGAATTTGACAGCCAATAACCTTTAAACCTCACAGGTTCAAGTCTCGTTCTGCGCCCAGCAACAAATGTTTACGATATAATATCAGTGGGAACCCATGAAATATCCTTCTTGGTTCTTGCGATGGGTTCACCCCGCAATTCAATCCAAGCATCTCTGACACCCTGGGCATTCAACAGATGATGGGGAGGCCAGTGACCGGTCAATCCCATCTTTGAGCACTTCAGCACAGTCCTCGTTGGTGCACAGGATTCCCTGGCAACTTGCCGCTTGAAACCTGCTCATTTTTTCGCACTCCACCCACGCCCGCAAGGACCTTGGCAGGCAGAAACTGAACCACATCCATTGGCTCGTCGTTGATTGACTTGTCTCAACAAATGCTCAAAGCAACAATCTTGCTTATCCAAGCGACTCGCAAGCCACGACCCTATCCAAATCGAACAAGTCATGATGTGCTGGAGGAAGTGAGAATGGGCAACGCCCTGGCAAATGCTTCACTGCCTGCTGAAGGCAGGTACGGCAAATTGTGTGCGGGCAACATGAGAGCTCGATCCTTGGATGGATGTTCGCATAGAGAGCTTCGAAACACACTTCACAGGTCCATCTCTGCAGTTCCAACTGCACCTGGACACTGCAAACGCTGTCGATGACAGTTTCGTCTTCATCCATCAGGCAGATGCCAGAATCACAATTCTCTGTTGTTCCCGTTGAAGCGATCTCATCAGAACATATCTCCCCCTTCTTCCTCTTCCGATCAAGCCATCTTCCATGCTCACACGAATCCAGATTTGACCACATGGCTTCGCAAGGATGATGCGGCAACAAAGCGGGCAAATGTTCCATCTGAGACGCTGCGTTGCAGGTGTCAACTCCACAACGAACAACTCCACCAGTTGACATGCTGCACGTGGGTTGACCACGTCATGTATACGTTGTATATCTTAATTGAATGCCTAGATGTGCATTGCAAACACCACACCCAGTCAACCCTACAACCACTCTTCCTTCTTTTTCTAGTCTCCCGATATCCAGCAACGGCAATGCTCTCTGAGAGCCAGCATTCAAATGAGAAATGGTGAGGACTCATTTTCTGCAGAAAGCCTAGTAGCACGCCCATCTGCATGTCAACACATAACTTGCTGAAATGCTGGACTGAATGCGACTACGCCTACCACAAGTGCCCCTACAGGAACTAGTCACTGATATTAGTTTCACTGTCCACCATAGGAGCCCTCCTCCCTTCTTTCCTCGGCTCCTCACCTCACCTTCCCTGCTCCTCCTCCCCCCTTCCCCCCTGCTTTCTCACGGGCAATGGCACTCCAAAGCCGGGCAAGTGGATTCAAATTCTATGCACGATGCCTCGGCCGCTTGAGCCCGTCTGTCGCCTGTCAGTCTGTTGTCCTGCGAGAAGTAGTTCGCATAGCAAGCACGGAGCTCAGCGCTGGCAAAGCGCCTTACACATGCCTCATACATTCACAGCAATCCTCTCCCACATACTTGGAGGAGATAGCGCCCACATAGATTGGCGCAAGCAGAGCATCCTCGCCCTGGCAACAAGATGGCTGCGTACCAAGTCCCATCTGGACCCAAGATTGCTCTGACTGCAAAGCCATGCTGGGCAAGCCTCGTTGTCGTCTTCTTCGCCCGTCTTACACACAGACTTGATGTAAAAGTCGACATTGACGACCTGCGCAGCAACCCTGTACCAGCACTCCCTCGAGCTTGTGCATACTTTTCGTTACAAGTATCACCTTGCCATCAATCAGCGCCATGCTGGACTGAGACAGGCGAACGACAACGCCACTTGCCTGAAAACAACAGTCAGGAGCAGGCATGTGCAATTCTCTGGGGAAGCTGTTGCTACCTGATGCTTGTCCGTGTACTCAATGGTGCGGGAGTCTTGAGGCTGCTTCTCAACAGTCTTGCGATCACCCAAATCCTTGGCGCCAAGTTCAGCAACTTGTAAGTCTTTGTTAAAAATTCCTCACACACACGCGACGTCGACGCATGAGGCCGTAGCATCCTCACTCCACTCAATGCTGTCAGCAAAGCCCACCGTGTAGACCTCCATGTTGGAGTCTCTGACGTGGTCCATCACATCCTGCCGGATGCAGGTTTGCTTCATTCCTGAGATTAGAATGGCACAGTCTGGCCTCAAACTCCTTACCAACTTTGTGAACCAAGTCCAGCTGTCGGTTGGCTTCCTGTACCTGCACCAAGCAAAGGCTTGAACAAATCTGTTAGACATGTGGCGCCCCATGAGACGGCCGAGCTCACCCATGGCTCCAAGGCTTCGAATTTCGGTTCGTCACCGACCTATTGCCACAGACCCACGAACTTTTCCGGGCATGAAGCTACTTAATCATCGAGGGCATGGCATACAAGAGTTGCAGCCGCTGGATTGTCTCCAGAAAGTCCTGCCCCAGCATGGTTTCAAGACATTGTGAGGACATGTCAAAAGAGCTGCACAGCATGCTGCCAAGGCAGCCTTCCGGCGTCTACATAGGCGAGACAGCAGCATGACCTCAAGAATCTCGAGCCCGTGGAGCAGAAACGAGCCAAAGCATGGTGGTGGAGAAACATCTTTCCAGGCTGCGTGCTGCCGCGATGGCCAACGCGGAGTCATTCATGGCCATGAAATCCAGAAGCACTTGAACGAATGACGCCAGCGCCTGTCTCTGCACATGTCTGTCGCACCCAAGGACCACAAAAAGCAGATGTTTGTCCAAGGGTTATATTACGGTTATGTATATGGAAGGATATTACCCTTTCATGATGGAAAGTCAAATGAAAAAGAACATGGAAAATGAATTGGAAACTGGGGAACATATAGGGGTAATATACACTGCAAGGACAGCCGCGTGAAGACATAAAACTGCAGCCGGTCCTGTCTGCAGGCCCGGTCACCTGAATCTGGTGGCTGCCAGGGGAGCGCCACCTTGACTGCAGCAAAAGACACTCTAAATAAGTGGGAGTTAGTAGGGAATAAGGGAGTACAATATAGAGGTTATAGGGGTTACACAGGGATTATATTGCCTTATTCCCTACTAAGAACCAGTATGCTGATTGTTATCCCTAATTTGCATTTGTTGAGATCATGGCTGGAAAGGCACAACAGATCTAATAGTAACTTCCGGTGGCAGACGCAACCTGCAAATGCCTTCCTGAGGCTGGCCAGCAGGCAGACGCAACTCACGACCAAACCCTAGAACCCAGGGCCTCCCAGGCCGGGGCCAACCGGAGGGGGCCTTGCAGAGGGGGGCGGGCTATCAGGATCTCCCGGATCATCAACGTGTCTCATCTCTTCGACACGGTCGGCTGCAGCTCGTTCAAGTCAGCGTTGTTTTCTCGCACCGCCTTTCCGCCAAGCTTCACCCGAGTTGAGTTGCGAACCTCTTTTGGAGCGCAGAGCTTGCCTTCGCTTACGCTTCTCGATTATTTGGGTCCCTCAACTGTCTGTGGAGATGACAGGATCTCTTTTACCCCTGTAAAACTTTTCGCAAGTGTTGCATGTCCTGGGCATGCTAAACGAAGGACAACGCTGCCGAGCAGCATTGGCCAAGTGGAAAGCTCAGGCGCAGACTTGCGCCAAATCTGACACTACGACCACATAGCTTGGCACCTTGCAGCGCCACCGTCAAGAGTGTCTCGGATCTGAGCTCGTCTGGCATGTTGCAACGGCTACGCTGCCTGGCAACATGTGCAGGATTCTCGTCCCGCCTCTTCAATGGCCTCTACTGTGATCGGCTTGCCACGATCTACCTCTCAGACAGTTCAGCTGGTAGGTACTCGCTGAACGGAAACGACTGCAAGCGGTGGCCAGCAGCAACGGTCCCCATCCTCGGGGCTGCTCTGCATGTGTGGAGGGCGATGAATGCCAAGAGCCATGTCTTTGACCTTGCATGGATTCAGGCTTCGATATTTGAAAAGCAATGGGCTGCATCACTCAAATTGCCCTTGAGTTCCAGTGCATGATTTCTTGGTAAGTCCATACTTCCCTCTATGGAGGCACCCACGCACCTCGCCCATCCTGTGCACTTGACAGGATACTCCTCTACAGATGTTGATACTCTCCCTGAGCAGTACAATATGACTCATGTCAAACAAAACGGTCCAGACACACCGATGGGGGATGCTTTTCAGTGATGGAACGAGCGGGCGCGTGGTCGGCCACGTCGTCTCATTCAAGTAATTGAACTCCGCTCCGCTCCAAGGTCCAGGCAGAGAGAGGCAGGAATTCGCGGAAGGTCTCCCTGGCTCACTTGTCATTGACCACTCTTCATAGCGCATTCCAATCGTGGCAGATCCACATAAACAACGTGACGTGGGTGTTCACGCAAAGCGAGCAGCACATGTTCAGCAGGCGACAGATGTCTTTCAGGGCCTGGGCTTCATTGCCCTCGACTTTCGAAGGAAATGTATGACATCATCAAGTCTGCTTTCAAAGTATCAGTATCATGTAATGTCATAACAGAACATACAATAAAATTGGAAATTCGCCTCTTTTTCCATTCACTGGACTCTTTGAGGCGCCCGCTGCCAGGTACAAGTCCGTACCAAGGCTCTTGTGCACCTGGCATCCCACAACCTACGGATACCGCTACTAGACAGCAGGTGGGTGCTAACAGTTTGTCCAAATTTTGGTGGGGCCCGGATGATGATGAGAATGTAAATGCTCGCGCTTCTAATCAAAGATCTTTCTTGGGCAGCCAGAATTTGGGCGCGTAAGGGATAACACAACAGTATGATAACACGTTCGATGCAGAGTTTCCCTGACAGGCCCTGCTGCCAATGTATGCCAAGGTGCTTGAAGCAGCCGGTGCATGGCGCTGAAGAGTTCGGTCACCCATCGAATCTGATAGCTCTGTATGCTGCCATCGTCCTGCCCATTTTGCTTGCTTTGACTTTGACCTTTCATTGCAAATCATGCTGCCCTGCATGACGCTTCTGCTGGCATGTGCTTCTTCGTTACGCTTTCGAAATCATCCCAGCAGTCCCCATCATCATTGTTAACCTGGAGCCCCCGGTCCAAACGTTCTTGCCTCAAGGCATTCATAAGATTGCGTTCAGATTGCACAAAACTTGCATGCTCCTGCCTCTGTTGCCGCCGTTGTTCAGCTTCCATGCGGAAGCGCTCAAAGTACCCCAAACCTTTTCAATGCCCAAATCACCTACAAAAGGGACATTGAAATCACAGCGACAAGCCTATGAGCTTCGACAACAGCATGCTCAGCACCTTGGGATAATGTGATTCTTCTATGAAAGGTGTCTGAAGCATCAGTTTCGGTGGAGCCCAGCCCCGCACGCTGACCAAATGCCCCATGCAGTCTGAGAAGTCTGTCCGCGGTGGTGGCCTTGGACGGCCCGTTGAAAGGGACCCATGTCATGCTGACAGCGTGGGTTGCTCTTTTGCTCTTGCTAGGCAAGCCCATGCAGCTCAACAAGTAATGGGGTTATAAAGGGATTATATATAGGGGATATATTGGGATAATGGAAAATACAATGGAAACTATTATAGTATATCGGGGCAATATAGAGTTACTCCGCAATTAGTGTGAGACCCAGGCAGCCCGGGACTCGCCATGTCTCTGCAGAGCTCTGCCAGTGAGGCGAACTGCCACGAGCACATGTGGCCTCAGCAAACATGTCCAATCCTCTCCACACAACAGTGCCATTATGGTCATCGTATATTATAGTAGAATTATCATATAAATATATCATACTAGATCCTCTCTTCGCAAGAGTATAACAATAGCAATAATGATAATACTAGTAATAATAGAAAAAGTGGCAAAACTCGCAACTTTGTCAAAGCCCAATGGGTGCGTGGCAGAGCCTTTGCAAGTCAGTGGGCCTCAGTTGCGCAACACGGCAAGGACAAATGGCATCTCTGTCGCCAATGGAAGCAAAGGAGGTGCCAGGCGTCCAACGTCAGGGGTGCCGACCCGCCCCCTGGAAGCTCCTCGAACGCGCTGTCCTGAGGCTTTCCAGCTGTATGTAACTTCAGTTGCCCTTGCTATGCAATCAGGTCTCTTCGTGTTGTGGCTCTACTTCTTGTTGCTGTTGGGGCTGTAGGGCCCTCACATCATCGTCTGCCCGCGTGCCATCCAGGTACACCTGCAAGGTTATGGGGCGCGGCTGCACGCAAAAAAGTGGTTGAAGGCTTTGGCCTGCGTGATCACAGAGCTGCGGACGGACTCGTCAGCAAAGGGTGGTTGGCCTGAATTTCTAGCGCTGTCGATCCCTCTGCACGACCAGCTTCTGCACCAATAGTGTAATAATTTGAAATAATACAGCAAGAAATAACCATAAGCATAACAAAAATCATGACCATCATAAGGATAAGTATACATAAGCCTACATCTTCCGTCGTCCGTCATCTCTCAGAAGCACAGAGGATCTCTGAGGTCTGCTCCCAGGAAGGCATGTAGAAGCAAGGCTGTGTGGGAGGAGAGCCTGGCAAGATACAGGAAGCACAGCAAGCCGCTGCCATTGTCGCGAGGGACATTTGGGGGTTTTTAGCAAATTATCAGCTTCTTCCGAAAAATAAGACTATAGTATATTAGGGTATATGAGCTATAGTCTGAACTTCTAGTATCCCCTTAAGTAACCCCTATAATACACCCCTATATAACCCCCTGAAAGGAGTTTAGACTATAGTGCATGTGAGTGGTCCCCCCTAATTTATGGAAACTCCCATTTCCCTAAACCTTAAACTCTAAACCCTAAACCTAGAATCATGTCAGCAGCACGCTGCCAGGTCGCTCAAGTCTGCGGCATCACGGCTCTCGTTGATCTGGCCTAATGATAGGAGCTCACCGCTTGGCTGGGTTGCTATTAAGGAACTTCAATTAAGTAACCATCATATATACGTAGCGCTTTTTTGGGTGGTTGAACCTAGTAAGATAATATTCCTTATATAAAATACTATACCCCAAAAGGAGGATATAATCTTACTCTATATTGGGTACCATAGTATTCTTATTCACGGACATCAGTCGGTCATGCGAATCAAGCGCTGAGCACTTTGGCTCGTCCAGTAACTAATCTAGAATAAAGTTATAGGCGGGAGATAATGGCCGCCAACTGGTCGATGATGGCTTGGCAAGCTGCGAGCTGCTGATGCAGGACAGATTTGGGCAGCAGCTCCGCAGCAGTGCAAGTTCTGTGAATCTTATCTGGTACTTGCACAAAATAATTGGGTAGAGCAGAATGCGCATATGGGAATATCCTCATCCAGGATACTTCGGGCAAGTGTGGAAGACCTCGGCAGTTGGATGCTTCAATATGCATCCCAAGTGCGCGTCTTACAGAAACGAAATACTTATGATGACATATGAATGCCTCTTGGCGGACTTGGAGGGGGAAATCATGTTTTTGATTTCAGGTGCCTCTGCGGCTTGCCAAAACTCAATTGTTTTGGCAGTCACAGATGGAACAGTCCTGCTGGGGATGACTTGAAATGCAATTTTTTTTCCCAGGCCAGAAGTGTGGTTTTTCTCCTGCATCTGCCGACCCAGAGCGGGCTAATAAAATCGCTTCTAAGGAAGGTGTCAGCTGGCTCAGGGAAGAGGGCGTTAAATTGAGGGACATCTAAAAGGTGATGTTTATACTGCATATTTTTGCGAATAGCCGTTTGGGTTTGTAGCTCAAGAAATTGCACGCACAGGCTTCTTAGATCCCAGGAGAAGGTAGGGTAAAAGGTCTGAGGAAAGGGTCTGGCAGGGGGCATGCGAGGACACCAATGAATTTTGCCATTTTGTTCAAAATGAAGAGACTCGAAATCGGGAATTTCAGGCCAGGCATCGCGAAGCAAGGCGATGAACAGATTCCTGAATTTCCAAATGACAGTGCCTAGGTTGGGGCATCTGTGAACAAAGGATGAAAGTTTACCTCCCTTCTACAAAAAAATAAGGAAAGCTATGGTCCAGTTGTGGCAGCTGATCGCGCCTTGGAAGGACTGTAAGGACCATTTATTCTAGAACGAAAAGTATGTTATAGTCACGTTGTGTTCCCCCCCACTTATGAAAAGCTCAAGTGGAGTTAGGAGGCCTCCATGCGAGATCAATCCAAGTTGATCTGGGAGGAAACTGAGTAGGCGGTTAAACGAGCGGTGCATATCTTTCGACTGCCTGAATCGAGGGGGAGGGCTGAGGCAATCTATCACTAATTTCCCGCTCGACTTCGATGCCATGGGATTCATTAGTGATAGATTGGACGAAGTCTCCGTTTCTACGAAACACCATCCATGTCTCACATAGGCGCGCAACGTCCTGCTGGACGCTGGACCAATGTTTTCTGATGTGCGCTGGGAGCGCTGTAGTGGCAACAAGACAGTTCTGTGCACATGCAGGCCAAAAAGGCCAGGTGCGCGTGAGAGCGTTCCAGTCTTCCCGGATAAACGGAAATCTCGGGCAGTGAAATGCGATATGAGTAACGTCTGCATCTTCACACCCACAGAAGGGGCAGGCGGGCGTGGCAATAATGTCTTGTTTGTGCAGACGATGTGGAGAGGCATGAGCATTGGACAGAAGACGCATGAGAGCCGTTCTGCCGTATGCTTGCGGATGCATTTTGCGGAACAAAGCGGTAGTGGCGGGAATGTCTGCATGAGTCGTTCCATCCCACTTCTCGTGTTTGTTTTGAAGGCGCTCGGCGAACACATACTGTATCTGTTCCCTGATAAAGTGTTGAAATTTCAGCTTATTGGGAGCGAGTAGGCTGATAGTGGCGCCATTTTTCCTAGATCACAGACTTAAAGTTTCAAGGTAGAAGTCACAATTGAGCCAATCAATTGGGTACCATAGTATCCCCAAATAAAATACTGCTCAAATGGGTATATAGTAAACTAATTAACAGGGTTTCAAGTTGCTTAAATTCCTTAACAGCAACCCAGTTGGGGTGTGCGTTTGCATGGAGCTGGCCTTGTTGACGGCGTCGCTCTGCCAGATGCGAGGGACAGAAAACCAACCCCGCATTGCGCAGGACCTGCACATCTCCAATGTAATGATGATAATAACAGTAATAATGGGAATTGCAATGGTAATAATAAAAAACAACCATAACATGAATTCAACAGGGAAGTCTGTCAAGTTCAACGAAGCTCTGCAAATCCAGTGCTCCAGGCACACGGAGGCAAAGTATCCGGTCCAAATCCGAGTGCCTCTCGCTGGATGAGCTGGCCACGGACAACACTCGGCGGAATCACACCCTAACAAAGGTTTCACCATCACACAAATAAATCAACCTCCCGGCTATCATGGCTGTCCTGAAGCAGCTGCGAGTTGTCCATGTTGCGATCTGCCGTGAGGTGGGCCAACAAATTCACCAGAGCCTGAGTGACATGTGAAGGCGGCTCCCCTCAAGGTGCTGCTTGGGCAATAGGTTCAGGAGTTGGCGACTCATTGAGGATCCGACAAAGTAAAGAAATCTGCATGGCTGGATCATCTGGTTGGGCTGAAGGAACTCTAAATCCTCAAATACAACAAATTCGAGGGCATTGGGCCAAACAGAGCATGGAAGGCCCAAGCATCACGGAAGTACCCACGCCCTTCGTAGCGAGGTGGCTGCGCCCGCTGCTGCATCCACAAGACTCGCCTGTCATGCCAGACACTTCCATGCGAGACCTTGAAGGGCACCTTCCAACCCTCAAGCAGTAGGCAAACGTGCCAGTGGTTCGGCACCATGTTCCTCACTTGTTGCGCCAAGTCCTCCTCATCTTCAGTTTCAGGCGCTTGAACCTATCGGGGAGATTCGCTCCAGCCGCCGCTGCCGGGGACACAGCCTGGCCTGCTCCAAAGCATTCTCAAAGTTGTCAAAGAAGATGGAAGTGCCGAGCTTCAACAAAGTGAACTCATCCTGATAGCCAAAATGGAAAAGAGGCCCACTTGCAACTGTTTCATGTAGACAGCTTCAGGTGCTCTGGGAAAATCTTCCAGGGTTCGCATTGCATGTGCCGGCCTTTTGGCTCATGAGTTGCTGCAGGCCCTTGCCACTGCCGACGAAACCTGATTTTCTTTCGATCTCAGCCTGGCACAGATCTCCCTTGGCACGAGAGGAAAAGAGAAGGATGGAGTGGCGGCACCCGAGCTTGCATGTGATCGTCCACAGTGATCCGGGTCTTTGCCTAGGGAAATTCGCAAATTTCTGTGCAAAACAAGGCGTCCGCAGACTCAACGCATCTGCTGGCTCAGCAGCGAGCCCAGACGTTGTCCCAGCACTCTGGCGCAGGACGTCGTCGGATGCTCAAAGCCTGCAGGTCAAAGGCAAGGTTCCTTTGAGGAGCCCTAGGCGGCCTAGCTGCACACACGCACTGCGCAATGGCCTCGCTGGTCTGTATCAGCTCCTGGGTGATGAAGTCCTGGCAGGCATGCCGTGAATACCGTCCTGTCCCACGCCCTCAAGACCGGGCCAAAATCCGTGTCCTGAATCTCGTTGATGGCACTGCCATCCGGGCCTGCAGTTTACAAGAGCTCTTTCCAAAGCCGTCCGAAATTGGGACTCAAGCCGTGAGCATGCCAAGCTCGCAACCAATGCACAGGTCTGTCAGAAGCTCCAGAATGCGCTGGACAAACTTCACCCAATAGTATGGATCCCTTGGAAAGTGTCCGCAATGAACTTGACGCGTCTTAAGACAGTCTGAATTTGCAAGCGCCAGGCTTCTGCAAGCTGTCCTTGTTCTGAGCAAACTCTTTGTATTCTTCCTCGCTCACGACCGTCTTCCTGCCATGAAGCAGCAGTTTCCAGAGGATGGCCTTCCCTCTGAACCAGCAATTCAAACCAGGGATTGTTCCCACTTCCAGCCGCAAGCGTTACACTTTGCATGCTAGTAGCGTTGCAGGACCAGCATACCTCGCATTGTCTGTAACTAACATCTGCAAAGCCTCTGATATTGCCTGCTTGCGTGAAGTCTGCTGTGCAGGCCGAATGATGGAGTTCAGAAAAGTTGTCAACCACTTCTCGGGCAATTTCACGTGTAGCACATTCGTTAAGTTTGCAGCCATGGTTGGAAAGCTGGTACAGCATGCGGGCGGCCACATTTTTGTCACTTGCTACATTCCCAGACAGCTTCTCTTGATGCCGCACAAGGACATAGGACCAGCACACCACATCACAGAGCTTCGCTGACGCTGCCTGCGTGTGAACAGCTTCCACAGCACGTCCACTATCACCCTGATTCCTCCCAGGTTCTCCTGGCACACACATCTCACGGTAGCAAAACCCAAGCCATGTGAAATTTGACCGGAGGCCTCTGCTTGTATGAACGATGCCCGATAATATGAATTAGACTGCAAAATCCCTTCGCTTCAGCATCATTCTCCCCAGACTTCTTTGAATGCTCGATATGAACTGACAACCGGATGGGCCGCAAAATCATGTTTGCCCGAGCTTGCGCAATCATTGTCATTGAGAAACTGCACTCGCGAACAAGACGAGCAAAACCAGCATCCTCTAACTCATTCACAGCAACCCCCGGCAATCAACTTGTTTTCTCATCCTTGGAACTGTACCCAATTATGTTGCTGTCAAATTGGCGGTTGTGCCCAGATTCTCTGAGTGCCTTTTGAGCTATACAAAAAAAGAAGTTGGCATTAGGGCATGTAGGAGCGGCATCTCTTCTGTGTGTCACATGCCGCAGCCAAATCGTATCGGCCAGGGTGTGCACAACTGTAGGCTCTGGGCTAACAACATCTGACCACATCACAGTCTCGTCTCGAGACAGGCTGACATATCACATGTAAGGGCCAGTCGAAGCCCAAGAAGATCCCGGAACAGAGGCATGAGGCAAATGCATAACGTCATTCATTCATGGCCACAGTATCATCTACAGAAGGCACGAAAGCTTTCACTGAATCTGCAGGCTGTCAGGAAGTGGAGCTATGCATGTCCTCTGCGGTCCCAGTGGTGCACTTCTTTCGAAATTGCTCCAAGACTTGCTGGAACCTCGATCCAGCTTTACATGCAAGACTCCTTCTTGCCCCTTGCTGAGGCTGCGACTGTCCCAGCTTGATCATGGAATCTGCCTCCTCCGTGGAGTCGGCAGGCTCTGGCCGCGCCTTCAAGTCATTTCTTTCATCTACAGTCTTCTGCCGAAGCAATCAACTCCAAGGACTGAACGAAGGCCATGGTGAGGAGGTACAAAGTGTGAGCCTCACCGAACAGGATGCTTGAATCACAGTCCACGCCAGGCTGCGCAGGTTCAGGGTCCAGCTGAGAGGGTGCTCAGAAGATCTGTGGTGGTCGCGACCTGCGGCAACGGATTGCTTTTCACAATTGCGAGGCTCACGATGTGAGATATGCAACGTATAGAAGATAGTCTACTTGGGCACGCAACCTGGCAGCATGGCACCAACTCGGGCACCAGGTCCCTGGAAAGGAAGACGTCCTGCCAGTGTTCGATGGATTTTGGAAGCATCTGTTGCTGAACCGGCGGCCACGTTCGTGCTGTTCGCCCGAAATTTACCCTGGTGTCCGGCATCATGATGGCACGGCGCGCCGCTTCTCGGCGCTCAGGAGTGTTCACCTGCAGGCCAGCAAGGAACTGGGCCTCTTCTGTAACAGGTGTCATCGTCTGTCGTCTTGGATTGGCAGCCAGTGCGAGCAGCAGCATGCAGCTGCCATTTTTCAGCTTTTGCAACCCTTCAGCTGGCAGGCCTCATAAGGTGAAATTGTCAGAAGACCAGCGTTCGCCGCACTGTTTGTTTTGAAGGGCATGAGCCTCCCAGGTAAGAAGCTTAGCTTGACACGACCTGTGCTGGTCTCTGACTGAGGTCCAAGCAAAGGCAGGAATGACTCCAACTGAATTCTCACCTCAAGAAGGCATGCATCGCAGGACCAGAGCTTGGGGCGATCCTGGACATGTCGCCATTCAGCCGAGACGCGAAGTCCTCGTCTAGAAGTGGAGGAGCAGTCTGGCACGAGCAAGTGTGCGCAGACTTTGTTCTGGCCGTGCCTGAGAACTGGTCATCCCGGCCTGGTTGTTTGCTGCTCGAGCAACCTCAGCCCAAGATAGCCGTCAATTGCTAGCTTTACTGTAGGCAATAAAGACTTTTCCAAGCAGCCGCTTAAGAAGTGCTCAAACAGGTCATCCCACCAAATTATGAATCCGTTAGCTTGATCAGGTGAAGAGAAACAAAGGGAGCTATGAAACTGGAAAACCGTGGCAAACAAGTATGGCTGCAGCATACAGCACCATCACAGCTAAGCGCAGAGCATTGTTTGAGGTAGCAGCTGAGACTGCTTGCGAGACCTCCGTGCCCTTTATGCTGCCGGCAATAGACTCCTCGCAGCAGTGAAACTAGCAACTGTTGATATCGTGATATCTAACAGCATTGAATTTGGCGCAGGAATCGCAGAAACTCTCCCTGGGTCCACGGCCGGCCGGCTTCGAGCAGAAGTTGCTGCACGTGGGGAAGAGCCATTTAAGCCTTGTGGCTGTTGTTTTGCATACGGACATCAACATGCGAGCCTGCCTTCTAAATCCCTACCGTGACTTGCATGCTGCAAAAAAGCACAAAGGTCTCTCGCCTCCCAGCTTTTGAGGTGCAGGCTTTGGTTCCCCGCAGACGATGTGGCACCCGGAGCGTTGCCAAGCGGCGTACCTTCCGACGGGTCGTTAACATTCCAAGCCATCATCCCCCTGCACAGATCTTCGGGAGAAGCAGCTCAGCAAGACCGGGATGCAAAATAAAACAGTGGATCCAAACACTGCCTTCTCCCAAGGACGAGGTGGTCAAGGTGAAGTGACTTGCACCAATGATGTTTTGGTCCTGCCATCCAATGGTGATACAGTACCTTGCAAACGTCGGAACAAGAATGATCTATGGCAGTCTCCTGTACTTGATACTCATAGTGCGGCTTGGAGATTTCGAGCCTGGAGACAATGTCCGTCAGACATGGAGCGCAAAAACCATCTGGCATCCGCAGGTGCTTCTTAACAAGTGGAAATTGGGTATGCTATTGCTATAGCACATGCGCGCTGAAACATGAGTTTGTCCGAGACCGAGTTACAGGCGCACGGGGTCTTGCGGGCTTGGCACTTTTGGCGAGACCATAGAAGACCTTGGTTTTTGGGCTGCTTGTTGTAAAGGCCATGCAGCTTGGCTTGAGGCCTGCAGGTGCGCGGTTGCCCTTGTGTCACCGGCAGCCTGTGCTTGGGGCTGATGTGCCCAAGGTGACAAAAAAAACCTGAACCACGGTTGGCCTTCTCCCTGGCTGCCGCATCTGTGAGCCCTCCAGCTTCCTTCAGCCCGGAAGTGCTGGCTATTTTCCGAAGCTCCAGTAGCAGAGACTCCAACATGCACAGGTTACAATCAAAAAAGGGCGACCGACTGAGCTATCACAGAAATCAACACATGGAGTCCTCGAGGCTCTCTTCCGGCTTGGAGCTGACACGCTTGCTGCGGTCTTCCTCCTGTGCTGACAGCTTTGCTACAAGCACGTACTGCAAATCCCATGTCAGGCACCTCGATTTCCATGATGAACGACAGGAATGCCCAGCCTGAGATGTGACAGGCAGCGTAAGGATGTTTGACACAGGATTTATGTACCAGCGAACAAGCGCGCCACCCTTCTGCTCCTTGAGCTCCTTCATATCCTGCGTAGTGCTGTGGCTGTTAGCGTTGCTCTTCATCTGACTTGCCGGCATCTCTCCTTCAAAGGCCTTGGAGGTGTGTCTGCACCTCCCTTGTCCGTCCAGTTCCAGACGCGGCGGCGTCTTTGCATGTTTGCGTTCCTGTGGCCATGCAGGAATTTCTGAAACCTAGTGCCCCCGCCAGAAGGACAACAGCTCAACAAGAAGATACAAGAAAGGAGCACATTTCAGAGAAGCATGAATGTCAACGCTCATTGCCACTTCAACTTGCAATCAACAAGACTGGTCCTCAGCTCACGCACTTCTTCGTATCGCAGGCGCAGGTGGTCGTCCTGCTGCCAAAATTGTTGGTTCCACGTTTTCATGGTACAGTACCATCCCCTGCCTGCTGTTTCCGAACAATGCGGAAGGATGCATCTATGGGAAGGACATCCAGCCCCTCTTCCACCATCCTCAGCGTCAGAGGCATAGGCTTAGGCTCCAAGGCATCACTAGGCAACTGAGCCCTTCACCGCTTCAGATCCAGAGTGGATTCTGAAGAGCTGTGACCTGCAACTGGGCTGCTGACTCCGTAACTGGTGTACTGTCTGCACTTGAGCAAAGTGTCACATGCCCCAAGTTCGGGCTGCTGCAATCCCATTCGATTCGAATTTGGGTGGAGATGCCCTTGTCCATGCGGGACCACACCGAGAATGAGAAGGCCTTCGGCTGGAGATCGATCTTCAAAAGCCAGCACGGGCACAGAGATGGGACGGCCAAGGGGCCCTTTCAGTCCGGGAGGGCAGGAAGAAATGCTCTCGCTTCTCGTCAGCTTCAGGCCTGGCTGTGAAACCATGAAACCATGAGCGTCCTTTCCACTCCGCTCCCTGCCCGGCCCTGAGTTCTTCAAGTAAGTGAGGATACGGTAGTCGTGATTCAGCTCTTTGATGTCCTTCAAGCAAGCATCAAAAATGCCCACGCGTGCGAGCAGTTAACGTGGAGTGGAGTTCGTCCTGTTTCTTGGAGTTCCTCCTTGGCAAGACCGGGCCATACGGATGCAACGCCTGGGCGATGGATAGTAGAAACATGAGCAAAGCTGCTTGGGAACAGTTGTCAAGGCCGCGGCGGTGTACATTACCTCGAGCACCTCATGTGCGTCATGACTCCAGTTAGAAACCGTACTGTGCAGGTTCAATGCATGCAAGAAGTCCACAGCGTCGTAATGTGCCATGCACAGATTGCAGGCCCCAGCTCACCAAGTCGTTGCAAGAGTTTCACTTGCCAGTTGGCCAGGGCCCACACTCTGGATCTCATCTTTCTGTTGCAGTTCATGGTGATTGCTCGTAGAGACTCAACCTCAAAGCGGTGTCTGAAGATCGCAGAATGCAAGTGAACTGCATGCTCCTGGGGCTCGAGCCATGAGGGTGATGTCAGGATGCAAATCAGCCAGGAGGGACTGGCCGGAAACTTGCTGGAAAACATGAAGGAGTGAACAGGCGCAGACAGCAAGACAGTGCGTGGATGGTTTGAAGCATTTTGAAGCGTTTCACCCTCTCTCCTTTCTTCAGCATATTTTAGTATAGCACTCACACGCCATTACAAGTCCCTTTGCACAAAAGGCCCGTAGCTTTCCTGGTCATTGATGCCAATGTCGACTTCCACATTCCGAAGCATGTCCTCAACAGACATGGATGAGCTTGCGTTGGGCATCAAGCACGGGAGATCGAGAGCCCCACATACAAGTCGCGCAAGCCGTCGCCCTCATCAAATGCCAGCATCTGGATCAGCGGAATGCAATTGGTTGTGGCGAACCTGCACAAGAAAGTGCAAGCGATGGATCATCTCGCTCAAACGCTACCATCAATTTGAGACATCAAGCCAGCCCTGAGCCAGATGCTGGTCTTGCATGAGGTTGGACAGACACTGGCAGCAGTTCGAAATCGAACCTTCACAACGCTCAGGGTGTGCTGAGTTTCGAGGAAGGTGCTCTGCGAAAGCTCAGCGTGTGCTTAGTCCTCTCAGCATCTGGCCACAAATCTCTCGGAAGAGCCGGGTGCTCGCAGTGTAGGGGAGCAGCCGGTAGACTGCGAATGCAGATGCATTTTCTGTAAAATACCCAGCTAGGCAGGAGGGCCTGACTTGTAGAGCGTGTTGGTCTGCGGATTTGTGCAGAAGCCCGGGATGTCATAATTGAAATTGGCTTTGGAGTTGGCAAACCTGCACTAGCTTCCAGCAGCAGCTCTGTGATTTGCTGTAGTGTTTCCTGAGCTATGCCTTGGCAGGAAGTCTCGAATGACACTCAGGATGCGCATCATCTTTGGCACTACCTACAGCGATGGAAAGCTTTGGAGGCACATGTTTGCAGAGGTCGGTGGCTTGTTGTGGCCTCCAATTGGATAAGCTGTGAATGCTCCTCCGGGCTGGTGGTGCAGCAGATGTACTTCAAGACGGAAGCCGCACCTCAGCGACTTAAATGCTCCAGACATTGGCCCTTGGCACATACTGACAGCACAATCGCTGCTAAGGGCGTAGCTGAAGCACAGGTTCAAGTCAAAGAAGAGCTCCTAAACGCAAGATGTTACAGCGCACGGAAACACCCTCTGCAAGCACGCAGTCCCCGGTGTCACGCGCATCTTCTTGCCCCACAGCCTTGTAGCAGACTTCAGTCTCCAGGACTCAGCTTCCATCTGCGACTGGGTTTCCAGCTTCCAAGCTTGAATCCATGGGCCGCAAAACTTGGTGCATCGTGCTGGCCTTATTTGTGCTTCGTTGGTTCTCTGCTAGCATATTTCATTATCCTTAGGTCCTGGCCCCATGCTTGTCCTTACCACTTCCCGTGCCCTTGCTCATGACCTCACGCAGGTCATGATGCAAACCCGATCAGAAGTCCTCGAAACTTGTTTGCAACAGCCGAGTGACCCCTTGTGTGAAGGTGTCAGTGGAGATGATGGAAAATCGCATCCCTGCGAAGGCAGGCAGAACCCCATCCGGACGAATCAGCATTTTGATCTTCTGCGCAACCCAGCCTTGTCGGATGATTGCGAAAATCTTTGACTTCTGCTCCTTGCTCGTGTCGGGTCTGGACAGCAACCTTGACGCAAGTGCAATTGGATCCACTCGGAACTGCTTGTTCAACACGGTATCAGAAAGCTGTGTGCATTCAACTGCAGCTTTCAAAAGTAATAGAACCGCTTACACTGTCAAAAACTAAAAGTGTGCAGCAGCAGCTGCTGCTGCATGATGCTTTCAAGAACATCCACAACCCGAGGTGAACACTCCAGCAGGGGCCGCACGATCCGCACGGAAGCCTTGTCAAGTGCTCAAAGATGTTGGAAGTCTTTCTCAAGTGGCCAGCTACTTTTCGTGTCCAGAACGAATTGCCTTCAGGCCATCCTCTGCGATGCGGGAGTCCGGCTTGAGATACTTCCAGAGGATATCTGCCTGAAGGCTTCATGCAGCATGCAGATCATGCAGTTGAAATACTTACATCATCCAAGCAGAGCCAAGCGGCAAAGGCGATGAGCGATCCTCGGCTCAAGAGGCAGGCAGAGTAACGTCGAAATTAAACCATTGCCTTTCTCAAAAGCTCTAGGCAAGCTTCGCTCGGCAGACTCCGGCTGTTGAAACGTCTGCTCCATGCCTCGTGAAGCACAGTCTGGGAGAAATCATAAGCGTGCCAATGGATAAGGGCCCGGCTCATGAGCGTTTTGTCTGTGCTGCCTGATTTGGGGATGTACGATCACAAAACATTGCATAGACCCGAGCTTCGACAAAGAACTCCTGAGTGAGGCGCTCTTCGAGAAGAGGCCAATGTTCTTGGGCATTGTCAGAAGCTCCAAGATCGCCTGCATGGCAGTGATGGAGATCAGGATGTACGGAATGTATGGAGTAATAGGCGCACCTCACAGATGGCTTGTGCTGTGTAGGAGTCCAAGGAATCCATCAGCTCCTCAGCAAAGGCTGCTGGTACATGCGAGCATGTTTGGTGTAGTACGGCTCAGATGCGGAAGTTTGCTACCACTTCAAAGCACTGTGAACGATTGTGAAGCGAGCCCTCGCGCAGCCGGGCAACAATGAGTCGCTGTCTGGCGTCAGACATTCGCGACAAACTGGCCTCATGGACTCTGCAGGGTCAGAGCATGCAGTCACATCGACAGCACAATACGCTGTCGTGCATCAAAGCGTAGCTGGCCTTTGTCATAGCAACCAAACACAGCGCAAAGAATCGCTGGATGGGTCGCAGCCTGAGGGGTTCCATGCTTCTGCTAAGATGCCTCTACCTTGGAAAACACGAATGAATCAACTCTGTGGGCCACACTTCTCAGCAACACGTCCATAGGAACTTGAGCCGCGCAAGGCCGCAGCAGCAGCTGCCTATCAAGGCCACAACTTCTCGCAGCGTCACACAGCAAGTGGAAAGTGTTTTAAGCGGGAGCTGTTCGGGAAAGTCACCTCAGCGTTGTCGTCCTTGGAGGCATCGATGTCCTGCTCGTCGGAGGCTGGACCCAAGCACTGCGATAGACTTTCCACAGTCCTGTCCGCCGTTGACCACAGAACCTAGCACATGAAAAATCAAGATGCATACCACATGTTTCACCAAATTGCTGACAATAACACGGAGCATCAACTCTGGGCGGAGCCGTCTCCAATGCCCTCAAGAGTCTTCCCTGCCATCCGGGCAGCACGGGCCCAGCCTACCGGGAACAAAAGACAGGATGTCCATTGCTGCTCAGCACATCAAAAACATCTGAGCTCCCAACGCAAAACATCCTGTTGGTACAAGACGGTCTTGGAAGGGTCTTGCCTTGTCGGACAGCAACATACTCTGACCGGTGGCAGATGGAAGAGCTATGGATGATTGGGCCAGCAGCTGTAGGATTACCATCTCTTCAGGAAGTTCAGCAAGAGCACCTGCAACATCCACGGAGAGAACGCATTGAAATCTCCGCTGCGCGCGAGCACTGATGGGCTTGAGTTTTGCTCACTTGTGTCAAGGTCAGTTGTATTTTCCATGAATAGGAGACCCCAATATAGAGCCCAAAATACTAGTCCTTTATCATGGGGACCCAAAATGGACTCCCAATTTCCGGAAACCCCCAAGGGAGCTCAGACATCGAGGAGTACACTTGACTGGCTTGCCTTCTCCACCTTCGTCATTTCCACCCTCTGCTCCAGCATCCTGATGGGTTTAGGATTTAGGGATCTTCTTGAGATTCCTATAGGAGGATGTCCAGAAATGAGGTTCTCCAATATAATATAGAACCCAATAAACCATGACTATAAGATACTGTAAACCTCTTTACAAAGGAGGCCCTAACTTTTGGAAGCCCTATACCCTAAAAGCCCCTACTTAATCCCTGAAAATCCCCTATCATCCCTGTGTTCATTCCTTGTTCATTTACTTGGCCTTTTGGTTTTCCATTATTCAGGCCTTTGTCGGCACATGTTTCAAGTGTCTGCTCCTGCTCTCCCTTGGCTTGTGCCAGCTCTTGTAGCAGCTCCTCTTCAATGTCCTCGACCTGTTTGGTTCAGGGTCTTGGAAATTTAAGGTTCACAAAGCGTCCAGTGCTCCCAGGATTGCAGGTGATTTTTGCACCAGGCCTGCTTGAAGATGAACTCTGCCACCTGCGCATTGGCGCAGCGGCCATCAGTTGGAGCAAATGTGTCCAGGACTCTGGCGGTCTGGCTCCGGTTGGGAATGATGGCAAAGGCAGCAGTGCCTGATCATGCCCCTTGAACAGTCTAGACTTGTGAGTGCAACTCTACCAGGCGAAGCTCTTTGGAGCGGTAGTATGCCACTAAGCCGAGCTTCAATTGAGCTTCACCTTCTGCTCTGTCATGTCCTGGCAGTCCGTGTGCGCGAGTCCTCTAAGCCCTGCGGAATGGTGGTAACTATTATTATTACTATATTACTCTTATTACTGTTATTACTATTATGGTTACTACTAACTACTATAACTATTACGTTTTTAGTACAGAACCCTAAACCCTAAACCCTCTTTGAATACTATTTTTAATATTTGTCAATCACTGCGAGCCTTCATGACCATGTTGGTGCAGAGGAGCTTCAGGACCACACGCGGCGGCTCGTCCTGAAGCCTGCGTGCTAGGCATCGAACACATGGCCTACTATAATGGGGTCTTAGGGTTTAGGGTTGTTTATGTGGGGCTATGGAAAAAATCATGTGGACCCAGAATCCCAGCTGGAATGAGCTCAATCTCACCATGGACAGCCCTTCTTCTAATAACCACAAGTGTAACATACTATTATATACTACAGTGTACTGTAGTATACTCAAATCTACTGTAAGAGACTATAGTACATTACAATATACTACCATCATCTGCAAGTCCTCCTTCTACTCCTGATCTGCCAAGGCCAGAGGCCTGTGGCCGGCGTCCGGATCTAAGGCCCCTCACTAGCTGGGATTCATTCTCACCCCCCCTTAAAAACCTAGCCTCCTCCCGGAACTTAACTCATCCCTCCGAAATTCAACGGAACAGGTTATTCCATGTTTCATACTTTTTGTGATTTTGAAGATTTAGCCTGGGGGTTTCCAAGGTCCCACCACGGCCATGGATCGTTGATTGCACCCTCCCTTCACCCACCCGTCTTGTCCGACGCCTCTTCTCATCTTCTCACCCCTAGGCTCTGTTCCTCTGGCTTGATCGGATCCCTTGACCGCATTGCGTGAAGCCAAGAAGTAATGAACAAGCAGACAGATGATGTGGATTGACACATGCCGCCAAAAGAGCTTCGGCAACACTTGCGATACCGATACTGATTCAGCCGCATGCCTCTCCCTCGACACCAGGCTGAATGTAGCAAGTCATCTGCCTTCAGTCTTGCCTCCCTCCTCCCATCCTCGACCCCCAGGCGGCACTCGCGCTAGCGAGATAATTGTGCCATTACTTGGACTTACTAAGTGGGGTGGTAAGGAAGTGATCCCCGCACCCCACTTTTGCAAAGTTGTCCTATAGCCATGCTTCCCTCTTGAGGGGATGCTGTCAAGTTGCAGCTCTGCATCCTCTTGCTCCACAAACGGTTGGATGGCGCGCCCGCCCATGAATTGCACCTGTACGGCTGCATCAGGCACCAGATTGGTCGAGCCACCCCAATCCGCCTGATAGTAGATGGAGTCTGCAAAGTCCAGGCTCCTTGGAATCATGGTCCAGTGCATCAAGTTGCCGGATCACAACAAAGCTCAGCCCTGTGCTTGCACAGGATCTTGTCAGCCGTGGTCCCTTCGTAGCGATGCGCCATCTCCTGCCCACACAACATGACACCATGGAAACTCCTCGAGCTGAGTGCCGAAAATCATGACAACTTCCTACGTTTTCTGCAAGTCTGCACAGCGTCTGGACTTGGTGCAACCCAGCTCCTCCCGCATCTCCTGCATCACGAACAAGATTGAACAAGGATGATGCAAAGTGGTTGTCAGGTCGCCCCGGTCCTCGCCGCGTTTCGGCATCGGCTTTGTGTGGCACATCACCACCACGCAGGGAGGGACCTGCCCGACCACTCGTTGCCAGCTTCTTTGGGCAAGTGTGTATGCCTCAAAACCTTTGCAAGTCCGAAAGAGGTTCAGTGCGCATCTGGCCTCGCGGCGCTCCACAGGCTGGTCCAGCTCCGACTCGCTGTGCGAAATCCAGATGTAAATCCTGGCGCTGTCAATGGGTATGCTCTTTTGATAGAGCTTTATACTAGAAATTGGAGACAGACATGATGATGATGACGATGACGATGACGATGACGATGACGATGACGATGACGATGACGATGACGATGATGATGATGATGATGATGATGATGTGGAGGCTCGTGTTGCTGGAGGACGCAGCTCCAGAATCCCAAGAACACAAGCCAGGGATGCTCATTGGGGTTTGTGCAGACGGGATACGGCTGCTCCTTGTCCTGCATCATGAGAGCCACCACTGGAATTTCAAGTGGTACGCAAGGACTGGTTGGGCAGAGGTCCTGCTGCCACAACTTCACCTGCGTTCTGACCTCAGCAGTGGGGCACCAACTCTTCCCAGCCGCTTTGTTATGAAATTTGGGCTGCGGCGTTCCCCACCAGCGGTGGAAGTGGTATGCACTCGACAGCAATCCCAGGCCTTGGAGTGTAAAGTGTAAAGACTCTGCCCTCTGCAGTTCGCAGTCTCCGGAGCCTTTCCGAGCGTCCGACGCGCCCTGAATCTGCAGCTTTCGAATGCGGCTTACACCCTGTGCGTGTTCTGGTTTCATGGCCTTGCATGTCGCATGACAAGCCACACGTCCACAAAAACAATGATTCAACAGCTCAGCTGGCAACATCTGCCAGAGGAGGAGCCAGCAAAGGCCGTGTCTCCTCTCAAATACATCTGTGCAAGCATGAGGGCTCGCTTCTGCTGCACTGTCCTGCACCGACTTTACGCATGACAGGCAGCCGTAAAGGATCTTGCCGATGTAAAAGCGTTCCTCCGCGGAGATTTCATCCTGCAAGAGTTGCACCTGCTGGGCTTCTTGAGCAAGCCACCACTGCAAGCCTCTGAGTAGGATGTCACTGTCTCCATCAGTCGAGTTTGGTCGCATTGCTTGAGCCTGAAGTCAGACATATTCAACACAGCTGGCGGTACAACTGACCGCACGTATCTAAGGTAAGTGCACAAAGCCCAGCAAAGTCTCATAGAGCCCCTTGACCCGCTTGTCGCCTTGCTGCATGACCTGCACCAAGAGCTACAACATCGCTAGCTGAACACTCCATGGCCTGGGCCCCATGCCATTTCCATAAGACGCTTGAAGTGGTGCGACCTCAGCAGATCTGTTCAGCTAGGAGTGGGCCGATCCTCATTCCTCCTTTGTCTGTTTGTCTGAGAGGGAGTCTGGCACATGTCTTCGGCCCAAGTCCTGCAGAGCTTAAGTCAGAGAACCGGATACGAGCGCCGGAATTATCACACATCAGTGGGTCAGAATTATATGCATCTCCCCATGTAGAGGCTGCATCAGGGAAAATGTACATCACTGTGGAAGCTATCCAGCACGGGATGCAAAGCCCCAAGAAGACGCCGTTATTTGAAGAGGCGTCAGAAGGCATTTAAAAAAAAAACGCTTATGTGGCAGACGCTAACGTTTGCAGTACATTTCGCATTCATTTTGGCCACCATACATCAGAAAATCCCCAAGGACATGCTGTGTTTGGAAGAGCCGGAAAGAGTGCGCAGACATGCAGCAATACTGTATGTACTCGGGAATTTGCAACAGGAGCTCGCAGAAATACTGATTTAGCTATGGGATTTCGCTACAGGAGCCCGACAGAAATCCTGTGTACAAGGGTGATTTTCCAGCAGAAGCCCATCAAAATGCTGCTTTTGCTCTGGGATTTCCCTTCAGGAGCTGGAGGGAAATCCCGTATGCATTAGGGGATTTTACAAGGGGAGCCCACATCAATAGTGATTTTTCTATGGGATTTCGCTACAGGAGCCACAGCTTGGTTGAGCAAAACAAACAGATGTCCAAGTCAGCGAATTGGTCCTTCGAATCTCGCTCGTCGAACGGGAAACCAGACGAATCAGAAGCTCCAGCGTTCTCGTCCTAAGGAGAAGAGCAATGCAAACGATGCATTCAGGACAACACCGAATGAGGCTGTCACACAGTGAGGCTCTGTGAGCAGGCGAGGTACATGAAGAAAGTGTCCACAGCGTTTGCCTCGATGAGCAGTGGAAGTCTGCCGGGCAGGCTTCAGTGGCGGCAGGATGCGGCAGGCCTGGGGATCAGCCAGGAGCTCCACGTTACGTCGTATCTCGACCGACGACCTCTCGTCAACAGCCATGCATGCCATGCCATGCCGGGAGGCCAATCATCTCACACATTCTCGAATCAAGCATCGGGCATAAGCCGCTGCGTCACGTGCGGGGCTCGGTCTTCCAGCCGCGCCTTGCGTTCTGTTCAATCAATCGACTATTATTATCATTATCATTATTATTATTGTTATTATTACTATTATTACTATTATTATTGCTATTATTACTATTATTTTACTCGTCTGAAGATTGCAGCATACTGCCAAGGCTACGTGCCTTGTCAACCGTGTGATCCACCTGTGCTGTAGCTGCTTGCCAACGTCTGGCAAACTGCGGAGGTTCGTCTGAGCAGGCAGCCGGGTCCAAAGGTGGAGCGATCAGATTCTTGATGAGCTCCAGTCGGATGCTATCCTCACGCGCGAGCTATGCAAAAAATCTACCGCTGATTCTAACTCCGCTGCAAACACCCTACCATCAGAAACTGACCATGTCCTGCTATCTAGCCCGAATAGGACAAAGAAACAAGATCTTCAATACCACCGCCGTTGCGTGGCCGTAGAGGTCCTCAACACCTCTTTCGCCGAGAGGAGGCTCCCAATTCAGTATGTTTGTCACCTCGTAGCACCGCCATGGACATGCACGGATGCACACGTTGTGGAGCTATGCTGAGCTTGAGGGCTAGCTCCGCAGCCGCCGCAAAAGTTGCTGCCTTCCGTGAAAAGCATGAGGGCACGCAGGCACTTTGCTTGAAACCCCCTGCAGGCCTCCTGGCATGTCTGCAGCAGCCGATACACCGCCTGCATGCGTAGCAACATGCTCCATGTGCCCATGGTAGTTCCAGAGCCGCGGAGCAGCAGTCGCTCCTCCACGCGGCGCTCTCTGCCGGGTGGTGCCTTGTATTCTCATTGCCGCGGCATGAAGGACTGGGTTCGCTGCTGAGCGAACGTGGCACACATGGGCTCCTGGCTGCCATCAACATGTGCACAACGCGGCGCCTGCAATGCAAGGGATTCTGTTGTACGCGAAGGCCACTAAGAAGTTGAGTCTCCCGCAGTCCCGCTGTGACAGCTGGATCGGCGAGGTTACGAAGGGCGAAGACTGCACTGCGGCGCTGAGCCTTCGCAATCACCCTCTCACAAGTCATCAGTTGCATTCGCTTCGAGCCTCCGAGCCACCCGACAGCAGCTCACAGAGTACCTCCACTCCTTGCCTGGCAGCCACGACCTCCAAACATGTCATGGACGAGCGAAGCTGCACAAACACTGGAGAAACAAAAGGCGCCTGGCGGGTGTCAAAGCTGGCTCGAACTGCCACTGGCATGCTGAGCGGATTCGGCAAGAGGTCGACGCCACTTCGTCCAAGTTCCTTGAGGCAGCAACATGCCTTGACGAGCTGAGATCACTGCAAAGAAGGCGCGGGCAGTTTCATCAAACTCTTCATGAGTGCTTTTCCAGGCCATCAACTCCTGCATATTGGTTTGGATGTGTAAAGCAGAAGCAATGCATTTTCATTCAAGCTGTTGCCTCGCGGCGCTTGTTGAAGAGTGCTTCGTTAGGCTCCAGGGATTTGAACCCAAAGATGTTGACGCCTTAGGTACACCAGCTATCCACCGAACTACATGATTCAACAAACAAAACGACTTTCGCAAGAAGCCCACAGTAGATCCAGGCGTGAGGTATCTCCCTGGCAGGTTCTGCACGGTCAATATCGGACAGCAGATGCCGCATGAAGCTACAGGTCGTTGAAAAAAAGGCTAAGCTACTGAGCCTAAAATGACATGCAATTCTAGTTCGCTACTTGGCGTACAAGACTCATTTGCGCGTGTGTGTCCCAGAAACTTGTTGCAAGATTTTTGCTTTGTTTCTGGGAGGGCAGCTTTGCAAACTCCAACACCTGACCAAAACACACCTGTGGAACAACCCTTGTCCCACTGCTTCATATTGCTCTTAAGATGTCTTCGTCCAGGCCGGGCAGGCGCGCGGTCGAATTCCCAGCCAGGACAGCCAATGCAAAGGTCAGCAGTTCCATACGAGCACATCAGCCTGGCGGCCCAAGGCATTTCATTTGGGCTTGCGCTGCAACGCTGGCGCACTCTATATGCACACAAGCCAAGGGCCAGGCTGGATTTCGTTGGGTATTTCCTCTGCCCATGTCAGTTCACCTGGCACGCGATTCACGCGGAGCTCTGGGCTGGTTTGAAGACGTGCCAGCTATGTGTAAATCATAGTAAGCTTGCCACCGTTGACGGCCAGGCTCAAGACGAAGTGGTCCAAACATACGCACAAGTGCGTCCACTTGAAACCTGCAGCTGGATGATGTCTCTGGCATTCTTGAAAACAACATCGGGTTTCTTGTTCTGGAGCTCTCGCACTACCAAAACCACACGCACCCCAACTCCTAAGACTGTGATCCTCCGTAGTTTACGTACCCCAGGCGACGCAAGCCATCTCGAGTCGTCAGAGTGACTGATGTAGGCGCCAGGCATTCCATCGGTCTTGTCTTGATCACATACTGATGGGGTGCCGCATTGTGCGTAAACCTGCAGTCTGTTGTTGCATTCGGGATTGGATAGCGGCACTTGCACCGGTCCGTCCTCAACACCAGCGGATGGAGGCCTGGCCGCTCTTGCACTCCAGATTGGCTTACAGTTTTACTAAACTACTGTTTGATGTACACGGATCTGCTCCTTACATCCCGTGGCTCTGCTTACATCCGCCGAGAGCATGCAGTTCATCTTGACCCCTTCCCATCCAAACGCCGCTTCTAAGTCAATTTGCAGGTGCCTAGCCCGCAAAATATTTCCAGAAAGCTCACAGTGCAGAACTATCCAGAAGAGCAATCACAAAACTGACCCTTCAAGAGTCGTGTGCTGGACAAAGAACGGATGGACGCACTTACGGCATAAGGCAAAAAGGTGCCCCGACTCTCGCCTCTGGCTCGGAGGCCAAGCCAGCGCCAAAGGGTATATCCAAACTATTGGACTTTAGACAGCCCTGAACACAGATGATGGTCCAGCCTGCGCGGTTGCCCAACGTCCTGTACTTGGCGTGAAATGAGTCTCTTAAAGCACGAATTTCAGGGAAGCTGCTTGCCATCATGCACATTATGCATCCAAGCTCGAAGCTCGGACGATGAGATGCCCACGGCCATCTGGATGTCGCTTGCCTGCACTCAAGGAACACTCAGTGCATGCAAGCGATGCTGTGCGAGAAGTACGATGGGAGTGCCGTAAAGCCCTTGTAGATCATCCATGCAACCTCAAATCATGTGTGAATGAGAGCCGCTTGACTGGGCTCCGTCCACGGCCACACTGTGCTGCCTAAATAAGGTCAAAGCCTTTCCTGGGCTGTTGAACTCCTCGTTCAGGTAGGTGTGGAAACTCAGGCCTCTTGCACAACATTGTTCGTATTATTGCGATTATTGCTACTATTATTATTATTATTACGATTATTGCTATTATTACTATTATTACGAAGGCAGCAAACATGTAGTGCTCCACGCATCAAGCCCCTGGCTCCACGAGGTGCTTCCACGTGCAAACTCGCACTCTGTGAAGAGTACGTCTGAGTCAGGCCTCGCGCAGCCGCTTATCGGTGTCATGAAGTCGTTGAATTCTGATAGGTTTGGATTGAACAGAATTTTCATAAGTTTCAACAGAATTGATGTCAAAAGTGCCCTATCAGTTGTTTCAAGAGACAAAGAGCTGTAGAAGCTTGATTTTCAGGCTTTCATATTTTCATGAAAACATATCTCTGTTATAGAGTTGTTTGCTCTAAGTTCTTCTCATGATCGGTTGAAACGATTCGTCGGGTCAATCCGGGCCGGTTGCACGAACCTACCGTTTGCATGCATGCATGCATGCATGTACGCATGTACTTATGTACCTATGCATGCATTAACGCATGTACATATGCAGGTATATATGTAAGTATGTATGCATGTACGTACGTACGTGCGTACGTACGTACGTACCGTGGCTCAAAAACACGATGCATGCACAGTGCAAGGCCTCAGGAGCAGGAGCGTATTAGGTAACGTCCACGTGGCCTTAGCTGGAAGATGTAGACGACAAGCCAGGACATGGGGGCACAAGTTCTTCAAGTGCCGTGCTGGCGTGCATGAGAAATTTGTCAGCGTCTTGATGATGTACCCTCGATCGTGGCAAGTGACCTGCCGACATTCAAACTGCACAAGTAGCTGCATGACATGCACAGCGGCACTACTGTACAGTGTCTCGTCGCTGTGGCCTCATGAGGATCCACTACCGATCCTGGTGCGAAGCCAACACCGATGCTGTTTGTGGACTCCTGTCATGTGCGCAGCACTCCTAAACACCCAGCACCCGGCACCAACCTAGCCTAGTCTACTATACTACACGTCCTCCGCAGCCAAGTCGACAATCTTCTCGACTGCCTGTTGGCTGAGCAGGCTGGGCAGGCTACAGCTTCGCCCTCCCTGATCTCCCTGCCATCCCTGCCTCTTGATAGTGCACGAAATTACTGCGGCCCTGCTCAGAGAGGGACAGCCTCAACAAAGCTTCAAAGCATCACCACATTGCTTCAAGTCACAACATGTGCAATGGCAACAGACTGGTAGGAGCCAGACCCGTAGAAGAATCTGGACGCTGCCACATGCTCATCTGTCCTGGCCAGCTGCTGCGGTAGGCAAACTTCAGCAACATGCTGTCAGCGGCAAGCCACAAGCACGGAGGCTCACATTGGCGTATGCTTCGCTGGCTCCCGGAGCTCTGCAAACGAAGGCCGGCTCAGCAGCACCTGCTCCGTTGCGGCCAACATCAGGACAGCCGCTTATGACTGAGGTGTCTTGTTTGCCTTGTACATGAGTGTGAAGATTTCTGTCTCCGAGGTGATAGCAGCGTGCGGCTCATCCTGCTGACACATTTTGCAAAGCACGAAAACAGGGAAATCGTAGTAATAATAACTATTATTATGGTAACAGCAAAAACGGTAGTACTAATAGTAGTAATACAGGTACGAATAATAATTGTAAACACAATTATAGTAACGGGGTACCGTGAGGTAAGGCGCCAGCAGGCCTCGCCCAAGTGGGAGAGGTAAGAAAGCAGAACAAGAACGGCGCTGTCAATCTCCTCCTGCATAGCCTGCTCACATTGTCAACGTCTCCCGAACATCATTGTGATTTCTATCATCATTCGAATTGCGACCATTATAAATATTTATTGTTTCTTATTATTGCTATGGTTATTACCAATACTTTATTAGCATCGTTATGACTACTGTTATTACCATTATCTTATTGCTATTCCTACGCACCTTGTCAGCGCCGGCCAGGCCACCATCGAGGGTCCTCTCACTTTGCCCAAGGCTGCCCTTCAAGTGACACATCACACGGAGGCATGCTCAGGCGAAGGCTTGGAGTGCAACTTCACAATCTGATGTACCAGCAGCTGCTGGTCCATCACCTCACGCAAACAAATTTCGAAGTCAAGCCTACAAATGCCTACAATGTCAACATCCTGGGAGTCCAAGCCAACTGTCGCTTCTCCTTCACCTCTTCCAGAGTTGTGGCTTCGAAGCAGGGCAGGACCTGCCAGTACTTAACCCATGCGGCATTCCGCAGCTCCCATCCTCTTTCGATCTTGTAAGTCTTCGGCATACAAGCGATAACCAAGATTCTCATCTGTGATAGCCTGCGAGGTCATCAGCACAAGACGTGCATGAACCTGTATCGTACCTGCCTCTGTGGTCTTCTGCAGAGATTCCCTCGGCTACCATCTCAATCACCAAATATTTTTGAAGTGCAACTCATTCAGATAGGAGATAAAGACAGGCTCGCCTAGCTGATGGGCGAAACATCACTTTTCGGAGAACCAGGGCAGTTGCACAGCTATCACTGATTCTTCTTGCACGTTTACTGCCTTTCTGACAATTTGCACTTTTCAAAAAAAAAACTTGAAGCTGCTGAATTCAAACAGGACACTTATTGAAGGTACAGCCATGCTTCAGACTCTTCATGCCCATCCAAGGCTGCGGCACCACCACTGCACCAGCCCCCAAGTTGGCTGCCTTTCATGTCCAGGACTAAATATTTGGGCTATGTGGGGATGATGGAAAACAAAATGGAAGCCACTACAATGGGGTTATATAGGGTTTTGGGTTTAGGATAGAAGGAATGCCTGATAGAAAGAATGAATACTGAGGTAGAGGGCCTCCTTGTCAGCGGACACCTTGTCCACATCGTAGACAAACCTGACTGAAAGCAGACAAATTCTTACAAGCACAGCCAGACAAATGAGGCACGCACTGCCACTCGAAGCTGTCTCCGGTCAGTTCGATTACTGTGGGCGTGGACGGGCCAACCTCACACTTCTCAAACATCCATAGAATGGCGGGCACATGGTAGTAGTTGTGAAGCGTCGTCGGGCCTTCATTTGCATGCTCTTGTTGAACAGGGCTGCGACATCTCCTGCAACAAAATATCGAACAGATGCTGAGAGGATGTCCCACCGACGGTTGCGGCCTTCCACAAAGATCTTGACAGCGCCGCGGCCAATCGGAATAGGATCCAACTCCACCTCGCACAACGGACAATCAAACGTCTTCGGTGTGACAGACCGGTCGCATCATTCTGTTGCAATCCAAACCAACCGCATGCAGTCAGAGACATGTTGGCCCAAGCGATGTCTAAGCTACTGGCACTCAAAGTGGTGGCCATTGGGATGTGACACCGGAAGACCCTCGCGGTAGGGTGACGCCTCGCATGTCAACAAAGCAGCTTGCCAGCATGACTCGCAAAACAGTCAGAGCTCGGAGCATGAGCTCTGACGAAGTGTGCTGAGATTCCACAAAACCTGGACATCGTCAGGAATTGGAACGGAAGGCCGGAATTAGGCTGCGCAAGCTCCGCGAGCAAGCCACAACTGGTGCTCTGGGCGCAATGTTGCAGCTGAGCTACGCGTGGGGCAATCCTCAAAGGCAACCATCCTGATCCTAGGGCTTGAAAGAGATAGGCAGATGCCACCATGAACAGCAAGAGTTATCGAAAACAAAGGCAGTGTAGCTGCTTGAGCTCCCAGCAGCGTTCGTAGGATGTTACGAACCAAGGCTGGATCTTGAACGCCATCGAGACCACTCGGAGTGCCCTGTAAGCTCACGGCCAAAGCCTGCAGCGTCACAGCATTCTGTTTCAGTGCAATAGCTGCCGGACGAATCAGCACAACAAAGGTCTTGGATTACACACACAGGACGTCTGCATCACGACACAAGAAGAGCCGGATCCACGCACGAACAAGGCGGTATTCGGAACATTGGGACAAGACTCACTTCTCGGCTGACCTGGAAGAACCCCCAGCAGGCATTCACTCTGGAGGCTTTCGAGGCAGAACACCAAGCGACCTCGATTTACGGACGATCCTGAGATCCGTCCGGCCATCCGTCCCACCCGACTGTCCCAAGCGTCACCCCAACCGTCCCCCCGACCGTCCCGTCCACACCCAACCAATCTAAACTGTCCAAGCCATCCCCACCCTTCCAGATCGTCCAGACCCTAATTAGATCGCGATAGGTGCCCATAAAACAAAGCAACCACTTTGCCAAGTGCAATGCGCATTTGGTCACATTTGGTCTCTGCCAAGGGTTTCGCTGGTGAGATGACACATGAAGTGTGGCAAAGTGCTGCAGAAATACATAGCAGTTCTACGTGGTGCAAGCTTTTGACACTAAAAGCAACCCAAAGACCCAAACAACCAAACAACCACACCACTGAACCCTAAAAAAACAAACCCTAAAGAACCGAAACAACCCCAAACCCCTATACCTAAACAGTTCGAAAATCTGCACACCCTAAAGACTCCAAAGCCCAATGACCCAAACAACCCAAACCCCTCATCCCTGAACAATCCCAAACCCCAAACCCTGAACAACCAAAACTAACCCCCCTAAATAACCAATAACCGAAAACCCCCCTTAACCCGAGCCAGCTCCAAGGCCCAAAACCTAAACACCGACAAAAATCCAAAACCTAATGCAACATGAAACAAAGCCACCATAAACCCTCAACAACCCCAGACCCTAAACCCTAAACCCTAAGCAACCCTTGAAAACCCTCAACCCTAGACAGCCCCAAACCACTAAACCCTGAACAGCCCCAAACCCTAGACCGACGACCTAAACAACCCAAACCCTTTACCAACGACCTAAACAACCCAAAACCCTGAACCCAAAACAGTTTCAAACACCCTTAACCCTAAAGAGCCCCAACACCCCTGAATCCTAAACAACCCCAAAAACTCTAAACCCCAGCCACAAGCCTAACAACCTAAACAACCCAAAACCCCAAACACCCAACGCCCCCAGACTCCTAAACCATGAACAACCCTAAGCAACCCCGAACCCTTAACACCAAGCAGGCCCCCAAACAAACCCCTGAACAACCCCAAGCATAAATAATCTCCAACAAGAAACCCTCTCCAAACCCTAAACCCCAAGCAACCCCCCAAAGACCCTGAACAACCCAAAACCATTAACCCATGAAACATCGCTAAATACAAAATCCCAAGGACCCCGCCCCAAACCTAAACCCTGAACCCCCTCACCAACCCAAACCCTGAACCCCAAGCAACCCTAAACCCTAAACACCCCCAAGCCTAAACCCTAAGCAGCCCTAAAACTCTAAACCCTGAATAACCCCGAACCCTCAACCTAGCCACTGATCCGCCACGCTGATCCATGAAACGCTCGCAGGTGACAGTGCGACTAGCCTCTGAGAATTTGGACAAGTTCGAGCGAACCTCACTGCTTTCATAGACGATGTCTGCCAAACACCGAATCAAGCAGCCATCATGAAGGCGCTGAGATTTGGGCAATGTTGACAGCTCCAGCAAGCGCCGCGATTATGACCTGCGGCAGGGGACTTGCAGCTAGGTTGTCAGTTCGAGTAGCGCTACATGTGAGCGATCATCTTTATTTGTGCTCTTGGCCCTATGCTGTATTTCGAATCCGTGTGCCTCAATCTCGTTGCCTTCATATTTGATGTTGGAGCTTCTGCTGGTAAAATCACATGATCTCGTTTGCCCCATGCTGGAAAATGCACTGGGATCTTCCTGGCAGAATGCTCGACAAAGATGCAGAACTACCTACGCGACTAGTTTTCTTTTTTTTTCACGTAGATGAATCAAGCTGCTGATGTGGAGCCTGCTTGTCTTCTGCGCCATGCAGCATGGCTTTTGCGGCCTGACTGCAGATGCTGCATTGCTCTGATCGCATTTCTGAACAATGCTGCGAGCCTGCTTCAGATTTTCACCTGGTGCAAGAAGCACGGCAGGAATCTCCCATCAAGTCTGAAAAGACTGCAACACAAGATCAGGTCGAATACACACAGGAGATTAAAGACACGGTGAAGCCTTCGTTTGCTGTCTTCGCTGCAACACCCTGGCAAACAAACCAGCGAACATCTGGCAGCCAAATGGACTGCTTGTCCAAATGCCTCCTTGACTGCTGCCAGTTTGTCCATCGTTTGGGAAAGAGTCTCCATCAGCTCGGGAGCATCTTTCGCAGAAAGGAGACTGCCTGAATGACCGCTGTACCACACACGTACTCACCATCTTCTGGCAACTGTAAGCCGCAAGCTTCTAAGACGCATTGTGCGAAAGAGCGCCAGTGCGGCTGCTCTCCTGCACACGGGGAGTGCACTTGTCCAAAGGGAGTGAAATCTCTTCGGTGCGGCAAAGCCTGGTCGTCCAAGTTGCCAAGCGCTGGCCGGTTTTGGCGATCCGAGCAGAAACCTCAGCAGCTGTCAAGTTGCCAACAAGCCACTTTACTTCGTTCACAGCAAACTCCAACATGCAACTGCACTCAACAGGGACTGCCCAGCAAAGCGCAACTCAGACCCCGGCCGAGCTCAACACGGAGATCGTCTCGGCGTCCTCCTGCTCATGGCTAGCAGAAAACTGCTGGATCAGCAATACCGCCACAACATGCCAAGATGGACTTCTGCACATGGCTGTGAAGAATTGTCTTGCACTCCCTCTATCAAGGTGCTGACCATTTCTGAGTAGTTTCACCAGTCGCGTGCTATTCAGGATGTGTTTCCAAATTTGCGGGTTCTTCAGGGTCCCGGCTGTCAACATTCCATGCTGCAGACCCTAAACCCTATACACTAAGCCCTATGAGCCGGCTTCGGCGCAAAACCCTCGAATGCCCTGAATGGACGCGAAAAGGCAGCTTCGTATGTGGCCAGCTTCTTGGGGACTGCTAAAACGAGTTGCTGGTCAGGAACTTAAATCAAGATACGAGAATATGGGCACAAAATCAATGATAGGAATTCCTTATTCTGGTAGTTTAAAGAAAGTCCGTAACAGCAACCCAGTAAAGGCTGCGGCTCGTGCGCTGGGTACAGAAGATGGTTTCTTTCAGAGAAGAGTTGTTCCTCATGTTGTCGTTTCCACAAAAACCCCAACATAGACCTCAAAATACTATAACCTATATTCTGGGGACACCCAAAGGGGTACCCCTGTTTTAGGCAACCCTAATCCCTATAACCCCAACCATTTCATCTGCAATTGTCTCTCTCACGTGATTCTCCATTATTGGTGGCAGAACACACCCGAACCCTAAAGGGTTTGGGGGTAGTAATTTCACCCTAGACCCCAAACCTTTAACCCAAACTGTATAATCCATATACGGCAATCTAATTTAGGAAACCCCCATGTGTCAGTTGGGGGCCTTGCAGTCTGAATAGGCGTCACAGGACTTTAACCTATTCTGCGGTCCACACCCGCGACTTGGGTTCAATGGGGTGTAATCGGGCTTAATTTGGAGGCCCACCCCCGTGCATATCCCAAAAATCCCCAAACGAGAAGGTCCAACACAGGAGAGGCGTCCACGACATGGATTCATAAAATTAGTGAGAGCAGTACATGCTACTGCAGTAAACGTGTGTACATTGAATGCAGGAGCAGTAGCTTGCAGAAAGTTCCAGAATGCCAGCGCAAAGATGTCGGGACAGAGGAACCTGGACTAGCAATGCTGCTAGGGTCTCCATTTCATTTTCCATGTTATTTCCATTTGATTCTCCATTATCCCAATACTACAATAATATTACCCCAATAGCCACTATGAGCGGCAGGTCCTCGAGCTGTGGTGGGTCGCAAACTTCACGCACGAGCAAGGCCTGACAAGCCGAAATCCTATGCTCTTGCGCTTCCCCCACATACTATAGTAGTTTCCATTTTCTTTTCCATTATAGTAGTTTCCATTTGATTTTCCATTATCCCAATATAACCCAAAAATATCCCTTATTCCCTAAGCCCTAAACCCTATATAACCCTAATATTACCCCAATGCTGGGAGCTTGAGATGCAGGCCACGTAGCCATCTCGAACCACCTGGTCCTTGAAACATGCGTCACGGGGCGCATGTGGCTTAGGGAATAAGGGAATATATAGGGGTTATATTGGGATAATGGAAAATCAAATGGAAGCTACTATAATGGAAAAGAAAATGGAAACTACTGCCTGTTGCCAAAGAGGTTTGAAGGGTTGTTGTGTCACAGCTCTCACACTACCTGAGGGCCACACGTAGGTGTGAGGATATCGCAAAAGAATCTGCACAACCTGGGCTAAACCCTGACTTGTCCCCACTTACTGGGGATCGACCTTCAGCCTTTTTGTCTGTCATTTTCTGCTTCGATCTCTGGTCCGAAAAGGTGGGAAAGCGGAAAATTATGTGTGTACATGCGCTTTCCTCCATGCCCTTGGAGGTTGGGTGCTCGTGACTCTGTCACGCCCACACGTTGACAGGGATTCTTCAAGTAGAGCTTAAACCGGCCTGCGGCGATCGCGGTGAAGACCCTCAGGCCAGTTTCTCACCTACGGCCTGCGCGGCAGCTATGCTTCCCAGGTATCTGATGGCTGCAACAAAGCTACAGGATTCCTTGGCCTTCTTGACACGATGCATGGCTGGGCACCAGCATCGGGAGCAGGCAGCCGCACAGCTGTGTCCACAGTGGAAGCTAAGCTCCTTAGATTTGCCGGTGCCGGAAATCCAGTCCAAGAAAATGAGAAAGTATTCAAAGAATGGCTCAGATGCGCAGCAGCGGTAGTTCTTCCAAGGCTCCAAGACTATTGGGCAACGAACCAGCAGCTGTCGGAATGCTGATGGATGCTGAAACTCCTCTTTCTGAGGCTTACCAGGAAATGAGGGAATATGATCCCTGTATGGTCTTTACATAGTTCCTAAACCCTTATTCCCTACTGATCCCCGGTAAGTCCTGCCGGTCTGGGTTTCATCCCGGGAGGCTCCAACATGTTCCAAGTAAGGGCTTCCATTAATCAGGGGTCCATTTTGGCGGGGTTTAAGGCTCAGGGTTTAGGGTTGAGGTTTTTTTGAAGCCAGAACAGTTTCACGTCTGCACGACGCACTGGTTTGTGGTCGGGTTTAGGGTTTAGGGTTGGGGATCTGTAGTGGGATCCCCCTCTTTACGGAAATTCGTCTACGTAATGTTACAACTATTATTACTACTAGCTTTCTTATATTGTTATGCTTACTATCACTACTACTATTCTTATAACTATGGCTACTACGATTGTTATTTATAACCCTAATATATACCCCATTGTAATAGTTTCCATGTTCTTTTCCATTATCCCAATAGAACCCCAATATACCCACTACTACTCTTATTACTATGGCTACTACTTTTGTGAGTTCCACTATTTTGGTCCCTCCTCGGGGGCTGTTGCCAGGGCATCCTCATAGGAAGCCGCCGGGTTGCGGAGCGAGGCTTTAGGACTTCCCTGAATGACTGCCCTCAGCTCTGCGGGAGTCCTTGGATCCAGGGTTTGTTTATATAAGTTTAGGGTTTAGGGTTTACGGTTTAAAGTTTAGGGTTTAGGGTTTAAAGTTTAGGGTTTAGGGTTTGGGGTTCTAGGATTTCGGGGACATCACGATCCAGGGGGGTGCTGGGAATTGTGACTAGCTTAGAAGACACTCAGCATCCATTTCATGTTCCATTTTCTTTTCCATTGATTCTCCCTCCTTGAGGACAATTTCCTGAACCCCAAACCCTTTTCTAGCGCGGTATTTTTTGCAACCTTGCCCGGTATACCTATATAATCCCATTATACTTCTGTAAATGCTTCTATATGATATTCCTAAACCCTAAAGCCCAAAGACTGCTATATCCCCACGCACCCCCCGATATCCTTCTTGAACGGCATCATCCCCTTTGCTTTTTGCCACGTGTCAGGGTGAGAGGGCCAGATGCCAGCCAGCGGAGAGACTCTGCCACTTGCGAGGGGCGCGGCACCTCCCACTTCAGGAATTGATGAAATAGTCCCCTCAAAAGTAGACAGAATACTAGGTACATATTGGGATAATGGAGAAGAAAATGGAAATTACTATTTAGGGTTTAGGGTATGGTCCCCCTGGAGTAGATAGAATATGGCTTTGGGCATATTCTGATAAGATCCCCATACACCCGGGTACACTCTAATAAGGTCCCCATACACCCCATATTCTGTGTACTTAAGGGGGACTATAGTATTTCTAGCACTATTACAATACTGTTACCGCTGTCATCGTCACTATTGTCGTTGCTAGTACGGGTTTTACTACTTCTGATAAATGTTTATAAACGCTTATACATGTTTATAAATGTCTCATTGACATGACTATTATTGCTACTGTTCTTATTCGCCCACCTCTGGCTTCAGGTACTCGGCTCGGTTCACCGCCAACCAGGTTGACCAGCCAAAGCCCTTCGCCTGCCAGCGCTTCGCACTTTTCAGTCTGACTTCAACCCTAAACAGTAGTTTCTCTTTTCTCTTCCCTTATCCTTTAGTAACCACATAACCAATATAACCCCTATATAATCCCTACATAACCCTTATATAACCCACAAAACTGTCAGCTTCTGGCCAGGGGACTAGAAGTGTTTCCGCATCCTCCTGCTCCTGAAGCGTGGTGATGAGCAGACACTAGTGAGCCACGTGCCCAAAGTGTTTGACAAGGGTTGCTGCAACATGTGCCGCACCATCTCGCAGGCAGCGGAAATGGCAGAGGTGGATCCCCTCCTCGGCAGGGTACGCTTGCTGGCTTGAAAAGTTCGCACAAGCTTGAACTACAAAAGCAACCGAGGAACCACTCATCCAGACAACCCATCTCAGCAGCTGCTTCGCGGATGGGCGGAAGAATGGACTGCTTGGTTGCTGTGGTCGTGCCTCGACACATGTGCGCAAGGCCTGCCACGCTACGCTTTGAGACCCCGTATTCCATGTGAAAGGCCTGCAACAGCTTTCAATCCAGTCCGAGGCCGTCTCGAAGAGGGTAAACCACTCCAGCCTTTTGAGCACATTACGGCTGCCTTGTCTGCACTTGGTGTCATACTGCTGTGCTGAATTCAGCTCCGGGCTAAAGAGTGGACCTTGATGCCTTGGCTGAAGAGCCCACAACATGGCAAACCCCGTCGCAGAAACTTTCAGCATCCATGTCCCGACAAGTTGCCTTTCAAAAGCAAGGAGCTGCCAAACCAGGACGGCGACAAGCCATGTGGATTTCGTTGATGTCATGGCCGAACTACAACTGCTTCTCCCAATTCCCTGCCTTGCTTGAAGACAGAATGCTAAGCGATCCTGTGCTAAGCAGGTGCTAATTGCGAATGAGTTAATGTCATAGCTAATGCTATCATTTGGCTCGAGCCCTTCAGGCTCAGAAGCACAAGCCAGCTGGCGAAGCTTCATGTGGACCCATCAGCGAGATGTCCCAACAGCTTTGCTTGCTTCTCCACCCAGCCCCGCGCTTGCATGGCCACTTGCTTCTGTTCCAGGGCCTGGGTGACCTCCAAGAATTGACCGCCCCCCAAAAGATGTTAATGTTCCCATTGTGGTACTGGGACTATCTAATATTAAGGGAATGGAGGCACGGACACGTTCACAGCAGGGATTTTGCAGTAAGGCCTCGTTTCGACTGCCCTGCAGCTGCAGACCACCTCGCTCACCAGTTACAACGCACGGATATATAGGGATATAATGTAAGGATTATAAGGTTATATAGGGTTGTATAGGGATAGTGAAAAGGACAATGGAAGTTACTATTTAGGGTTCAGAGTTGGAAATCCTATTATGCCATGGTACACACAAGGCTACGTACACTAGGCCAAGCACAAATCGATTGAACAGCCTTGCCCAGATCACCGCCTTGCAGGGCCAACGCGAGGCAAACAGCCCTGCGCTCATTTGCCTGAGCGACTCTGTACGATGGTGTTAGATACTGAACTTTCTGGCCTGACTTCCCAATCAGTTTCCAAAGTTCATCTGCGACACTCAGAGAAGCCTTTGCGGCGCGAGATTGAAATCTCCCAACGCATGTCTGACTCCTGAAGCTGGGAGCACTACCAGCAGCAGCATGTCACCAGGAAAGCCACAAAGACCAGTGCTTCGCTCCACCATGCAGCCCGCCGTCGCAGTCTGCACTAGAGGTCTGAAGTACTGAAGAATACAACCCTGTGATGACCTGAATGCTTTCCAACTCAGGTTTGAAAGCCGCCTGCCTCCACAACTTGCCGTGAGAGTTCAAGCTTGGGCTGCCTGGCACACAAACGTCACAGGCTTACTTATCTGTTTATCATAATCGCATCTCATGTGCAAAACAATCATGTTCCCTTTTTTGCTGGGGAGTGGTGAGGCCGTTTGGTTCCTCACTTCCCAGCGGTGGTGAGGAAAACTTGCTCTCAAACTTCGTAGACCGGGCTGAGGAAACAAGAGCGCGGCACCTTGGCCTAAGCACAGAAACCGCGTAAGCAAGAGGAAGGGGTGTCAGGCTTTCTGCGCAGACAAGGCGAAGATTGCGTGACCTAGCGCTCTCTCGTTTCCCGCCAAATATGTCCTCAGAAAAATCTTGAAGACGGATGAGACCTCTGCAACAGAACGCGTACCAGCACAAACAACGAGCAGCCGGCCCACTGACCCCAGCTCACTACGTCACTACGCGTCCGCCGCAGCAAGCTCACCGTCTTGAGCGATAACAGTGTATACCCTCGAGCACTCACGTATGAAGCTGTGCGACAAGGAGACAAAGAACGCAACACCGGCTTTATACCAGGCAGACACGTTGATGCTGCATGCTGTTACAAACAGCACGAACGTCATACTTGGACTGGGGATGCACTGAGGACTGGCAGCATTCAGCTTGGCAAGTAGAAAAGTGCAGAGGCCACGCAAGTCTTCCAAGTACTCGCCGACGGGCTCGATCATTTGCGGGATGCTCAAAGGGCATGGATTCCATCTCAGCCATCTCGGCATAGCAGGCGTAGACCTTGGCCACAAAATGCCACACAGCCCACAGAACAGAAGAAACTGGTGGCACCGAATCGGAGGACGTATGCAGGCCTTTATAGCACTTGGGCCCTTGCCGAGGTTCGCTCCCCTGGGGTTGGCGACTGAATGTGCGACCTGGCTTCAATTTGCCCTGGAAGATACAGACCGAGAACTACGATGCAATATGCAATATATGCAATTGAGCCCGGCAGGCTCGAAGCTTGGCCAGACAAGCATCGGGAAGTTGAATTTTGAGAAGCGGTCCTCAAAACATGCCAAAGACAACCCACGGATCATGCAATGAACTGCTTTCCGCTGCAGGCTCACGATCCTGCGGCTTTCCGGGTACTTGGTACAGCAGCTGGCCATACCTGTCAGCAAAGATGATCACGGCAGCGTCGATTTGTACCGGGATGGCTTGAATCCAGCATTTCTGGATCAGGTGCGGCAATGTCCAGTATGCTTGCCGCCCCTGCTGAGTTGCAGACGAACATTGCGTGAAGAGGTTGGGCAGCGAAGAGAAGTGCTGGCCTTAACATGTCAAGCCATCCGGATCACGCTCCAGGCTTGTACAGTGATCAAGTGCTTGAGCCAGCAGCCCGGCGAGCCCACGAACACGGCGCATCGAAGTTTGCGACGATGCTGTAGTCGAAGAATCCGAGCGTCACTGATCTTCCGTCAGAATCACAGGGCAGAAGGATGTGACATCACATGTTTGTCCACCTCTGCAGAACATGCATTCAGCTGCTACGTGGCGACGTGCTTCAGGCATGTGTGCACTCTCCCGCCGTGTCGTTGATGAACACTGACACCCAGCCTCAGTCAGGGTGAACGAATGCCGGCTACTATGACACTGTTCTCTGAAAACCCTGGGAAACAAACAGATTCGCGTCTGCAACTCAAAGACTGCCTGACCATTGAACTGCACGCATGCATGATAGGACTAAATTCCAGAGTTCTGCCTGCAAGGTAACGGTGCTCCCACGCCGGCGAAGAGCTGCTTTGGCCATGGCTTTCTTCTTCTCAACCTGAAGTGGAGTGCAGGCGCTGGTAGTATCTAAGATCTCGGCCGTCTGCTGGGCATGTAACGACGTGGTCCAGACGGCCATCTGGGCTTTGCTGCATCAGTCTGGGATCTGCTGTTGCCTGTGCAAGCCCGATCTCTGCTAGCCGGTGTGGTTCACATCGCCTTAAGGTGCTACATTGGGACCTCGCGGCCTCATCATGATCATGCATCGCCACTGAGTCGTGTCGTGATTCATGACCCCAGAGTCAGCATGTGCAGCAAAGGCCTCGAGGTCAAAGCAGTTGAAACGGTAAAAGTCTCCGCCCGTTTCATCCAGCAGTCCAACCCACGACCTTGCCAATCCCAGCTGAGAAAGCCAAGCGGCTTGCCATACACTTGAGTGCAATGTGTGCGCAGTTCATGATACAATATCCTGTAATATATTATTCTATACCATACTCTGTTATAACATGCTATAGTGTATTACAATATCCGCCGAGGCCGGAGGCCTGGGGCGTTTACATCCAGGTTCGGGGACTCCGCTTAGTTAACCCTGCCCCTACCCCCTCCCAGCGGTCCTTTTTGCGAGGGGGCAGTGAGGGTTTGGCTGGCATCAACAATGAATTTTGGCGGGGGGGGGTGGGCGGTGGGGGCTGGAGAGTCTTGGGCACGAAATGCAAAGATGCGACAAGCAAGTGAAACTTCTTTGGGGGGAAAGGGTTTGGAAGAGGGTTCATAGGTCTGCAGCTCTCCTCTACCCTTGCCAAAGCGGTCCCGCATTAGCGGTTAAATTACCTTACAATATCCCCAAAACTCGTTAAGGTACCAGGGATGTCACTGCTCTCGCTTGGTCTGGCCATTCACGTCTGACGAGTGATGCAGCACCTTAGGTGCCAGCTAGCATAGGGCAGGCGTAGCCGAGCTTGAGTTGTCATGCTTTTGTACTATGTATGCTTACAATTAACAATACACTATACTCTATATATATATACACCATAAAATACTGTATGTATACTCTAATAGACTACCTGTACATATTGATAGCTAGATAGATACTCGAATATACTAAAATCATATACACTATGATCTACCCTTTTATGGCATCATGTATTATATGTATATATACTATGATAATTGTGTATTGTATTATCTGGCCCTGTCAGAGAATACCCAGGGCGTTTGCCCATGTAAACTGCTGTGACCTCGGCTGGCAATGGCTGGCGCAGTGTAGGAGAGATATGCCACAGATATGTGGGGATAGATAGCGGAATGGACAAGAAAATGAAAGCTCCTAGAAAATTAATACTCCTACACATTATCATAAGGTGTTTCCGTTTTATTCTGCATTATTCCATTTGATTCTCCATTACAGTAGTTTCCATTATCTTTTCTCCGTTCCCTAAACCCTAAACCCTAAACCCTAAACCCTAAACCCTACAGTATGGTACACCCTAAACCCTAAACCCTAACGGCACCCTTGTCACAGCACCTTGGGGGCTCCACGCATGTTGTTCATGGCAAGGCCGCCAACATGCCCAGCAGCCCTGCCCTCCCAAAGTCACGGCTTCATCCATCAACATGTTGGGGTTATAGGAGTTATATAGGGATTATATAGGGGGTTATATAGTGATATTATAGGGGGTCATATGGGGATTATATAGGAGTTATATAGGGATATTATAGGGATTATATAGAGGTTATATGGTTATATTAGGATAATGGGAAACAAAATGGAAACTACTATTTAGGGTTTAAGGGCCCCTAGACCAAAGATGCGAGAGTTCACGCGTCGCCCGCCTGCAGGCACACCGGCCTGCAAGGTGGTTAGGCTTCAGGAAATGGCTAGCTCCCAAAATTAGAATCCCATTTTGGTATCCCTAAATAGGCGTTATATAGGGATAATGGAAAAGAAAATGGAAGCTACTATTTAGGGTTTAGGGTTTAGGGCAGCTGCCAAAATTGGAGTCCCATTTTGGTACCCTAAATATCCGGTGCCGTAATATGGGGGTTTCCAAAAAAATTAGGGGTACATTTTTGGGGTCCCTATAATAGGGATTATAATATTTTGGGGTCTATTTTGGGGTCCCCCTATTTAGGGAAACTACCATATGATCTAGAATGAAAAAGGGCCCATGATTTTGAGAACAACCCGAATCCCAGACTTCAAGGAAGGGGAGGGGTGCCAGCCTTTGCAGCAGCATCCGGCACCGAGGCACGAATCTGGGCCGAGGCAAACTTCTCAGCCGCGACCTTCGCCCCCACCGTCGTAAGGCAGGAAAAAGACTTTTATACCCCTACTATAATGGCCCAAGATTACCATTATCCCTATAAAACCCCAATCAGAAACTCAAAATCATGTAGCTTTAGGACTTTAGGATGGAGATCTCTGAGGAAGTGTCCCTGGCAGTGTAGGAGGGAGGCTTCGGCTTGTTGGTTTTGCTTCCTCCAGCGGCCTGTGCTCTGAATAACATGGCAGAAGTCTGCAAGACAGTGCTAACCTGCCTCTGAAGCTTCTGCGACCTGTAGTTGGCCATGGAAAATACATGTTCGCATGGTGTTTTTAGTTGCAAGATCCTGGCTGCAGCTGCTGCGCGTGCTGCAGCATCCTGCGACTGCACGAGGCCTGCATAACATCGTATGACAGCATTGCACTTACGTTTGCACAGCCCACGCTTCACTTGTAGGTCCGCAGTTCCTTGCCTAGTCGCAAGGATGGATGAGGCGCAACGAAACGAGGGGCATGCTGCACAGAGCATACCATGACACCAGTGTAGTCTGAGGTGACCTCGACCACCGTCAAGATGGAGTCTATCTATTTCACGAGGGATGTACTGGCTAAATCTGCCAATTCGTTACAAGTCCAAGTGCCACACAGAAAGCCTGGCACGCACAGCCGGAAACATGGTGAAGTTGCGACCGCTTACCTTCGTTCCCGGCCTGTCAAAGACAAGAATGAATCATTTACAACGGGTGTCTCTCAGGCTGCTCGCTTTGGAGAGGAATAAAAGTCTGAGCGCCATGCAGTCGATCCTTCCTAGGTGCAAAATCCCATGGAGTCACAGATACGGATGGCTGTGGCAAGTGCCACGTGCAAAAACAGCCAGCGGGATCACAAGCATGGTCCATGCCGTGCGTCGGAATCAGGTCTAGAACGTAGCCCTTGTCTTCATGGATGCAGGCCGCCACCGTCGTCTGGTCAGGATGTGGCGGCGGCTTTTCTGCATCTAACGGCAAGACAAGGCAAGCCAGCCGCACCGTGTACATGTTGTCTCCAGCAGCCAGGATGGGGTCCGGGGCATCCGCATCTGCATACCTGACCAGAATCTTGTCGAACCACACCATGAGTCCCTGGAGCTGCCATCGCACACCTGGAGACGACCTTCTCGACGCCGGGAGAACTCTTCCAAGCCTGAGAAGGCTCTCAACACGCGACACATGACGAGACACACGTCTGCCCTTTGTCATGCCACATCAAGAAGGGGCCCCTAAGATCTCCGAATTCCCGTTCCTTTTGCTGAGCGCGTTGAGGGTACCCACCCAATGCCAGCAAGTGGTTGTAGAGCAACACTAACACTAGCAAGTGGCGCAATTGAAGCTCAAAACTCCCAGTATGAGGGAAGTGCCCTGAAATAGTGGATGTCGCACAGCAAGTTGTTGATGATGTGCTTCTTGGTCACCTGTACAACCGTGCAGCGTGCTCATCTCACCACATGTTCTGAGCACTGGCGGCAAGCCTCCACACCAATGTAGCCATCCGTGCTCACACGCTGATCAACTTTGCTGTAGTCTGCTTCCACCTGGCAATGAAAATGATGTGACACGTTCCAAACCTGCTACCATGGTCTCTGAAGTTGTGCCTTGCGAGGAGGGGCACCATCCCATGAGCAGCACATCCTTGGCACATCAAGGGCTCTGCCCTCAGTCACCCCAGCCGTTGAGTGATGCCGAGGCACTCCGTGTGGCCGTCAGCCTGATAAGCTCTCAGCCACTGTGACAGGAGCTCACATCATCATCCCACCCGGATGGTTAAGGTCTTGAAGTCTGAGCCACTTGCGTAACTGATAGCGCAATGGAGCCACTCGCCAGCCATGGGAGGCCTCGGTCTTACATTCGATTGCGCTCATCATGCAACTCCAACATCCGAGGCACAGACACAGGCAGGAGCGTGGGTTGACCGTTGTAGCAGAACACGATATGCCAGGCCTCCGGTCTCAAAAAACGTCTCAACACTGTCCACCTGAGAACATCTCATGTTTTCAGCTGATCTCAGCTCCCTGCCTGCGGTTTCCCAGTGGCTTCTCCTGCCAGCATGCATTCCTCAGCGCCTTGAAGAGCGCTGGCCTGAAAGGCACTACACATACTTGTCCAGACAAGCTTGACATGTGGAAGGCCCTCGCCTCCAGTGCTATGCGAAACTGGTCCCTGTCGGCACTGCCTTTCTTCGCCTCGGCAAACCCAACCATCTGAAGGTCGGGTGTGCCCTGAAGAGTCTGAAGACACATTGCCTATGGCTGTCTGAGCCACACGCAAAGCAGGAGATGATGCTCTGACACTGCACAACAGGGGCAGACAAGGGCTATACTTTCGACAGAGTCCGTGGAGACAAATGCAGTCTTTCCACGCAGGCCTTCGCACCCTCTTCCAGGAGTGCGTAGCCGCGAAAACGGAGCTTGAAATCGAGAGTGAAGCTGTCCTGGGGGCTTCATGCCTGACGTCTCTGCTGTGACTGTTAGAGTCTGCAGAGCCCACTGGTAAGCTCCTCGGAGATTCCAAGCCGGAATGGGGTCTGCGCAACCTGTTGCAACACAGGAGGTCATTCCGACCATCACGCTTATGAGAAAACCTGAGACTGTGGCCGACTTCATGTTTGAGAAGTTGAGGGCGTACTGTCTCAGGCGGTGCGGGACTACCTTGCCGCGAAAAGCTTTTTACGACGACCCGGTAGCATCTTCTCTAGTAGATGCTTCTGGGCTGAAAACCGCTTCCATGTCGATAATGTTCATGAGTAGCTGGATAGCTGCCATACGCAGTCCGCGGGCAAGCTCTTGCGGCCCCTGATCCACAAATCATGGCAGAACACCAGCAGGTATCAACCTATCCAGGTCAGGTGCCTTGTCCCGTCCGTGACGCTGCAGATATGTCCTCATGTAAGACATGCAGAACGGCTAGACGCTGCAAGGCTTGGTGTGGGCGGAATAGCACAGTTGCATTTGCTGCTTTGGGCTGCCAGCTTGGAGTTCAGCACCGCGAATAGCACACTATCCACCTGCGTTGTTCAGTGTCGCTGCACCCTGCAAGCTGGACAAAGCTGGTGGTTGGCTCAAGCCTGATGCCACTTGTCTGAGATGACCAGCCACATCAACGGTGACGGCTGTTGGTCTGGGCACGCAAACACAACTTGAATGCAGACCGCAAGCTTGAAATCCTTGCTGAACTTTCTGCAAAAATGCTTGGAAAAAACGCGACCATCTTGGGCAGGCGCGATGGAACGGATACATGATTGACCTGAACAAGCTTCAGCACGCCTGCTACAACAAGCTGTCGCCTCATGTCAAGCTCCCGGCTCACTGCGCTCATTGGCTTCCTCCAGTGGCATGATGTCTTTCTCCTGCTGATAAGGAGACAGACAGCACACAACTCTGCAAAGCTCAAGCTCCAGCAAGCAGGTCCGAACCTAGTTGAAGAGGAGTAACTATGAGTTGAAAAACACTGCCAAACAACATGCCATCTCGTACATTTTTTCAAGTCGCGATACCTTCGTCGCCGTAGCTTCTGGTGCATGCCGATCTGGCAACCCAGTAAGTCTTTTCATACTGGTGGCGCAGCCCTTTGTTGGAACACGTAGTCGTGCCGCCCAACTTGTCAGCACAAGCCCCTATGTACTAGCAGAGACATAGCTGAACTTACGAAGCAACTTGCGCGGCCCTTGAACTGGGGGCCATCCTCGGCACTTGGGGCTCCATTCCGTTTTACTTTAGTCTCAGCAAGTTCATTTACGGCTTCCTATTAACATCACAGGCGGAGCACCACTTCAAGCTCGAAGTGACAAGGAAATCCAAGCCCAAGTTTAGGCATTTTCGCCTTGGAGCTGCCGATCGTCTCTCCCCCGCTGCTTTTACCAGCCTCCCCTACAGCTTCTGCAACGCCTGCAGACTGTCCGTGTGCGACCTTCTATGCGGACCACAACATCCTGGACTTCACGGGAACCCTTGCAAACATACAGCTCACACAAGCTTCCACAGGGAAGGACAATCAGCCTGCTGAACTTTCTCGTGATGATCACACCCAACAAATCTATAAGTGAGAAGAAGATGTGAGATGTTCACGTATCTGTCGAGATAAGGAGACGATATAGCTGCCATGGAAGTTAGGCGCAAGAGTCTATCACCCGTTGAGCGTGGTGCTTGCTGATTTCTTTAGACCCCCGGCTCCGCCGGAAGCATGTGTCGCGACCTTCGTCAGATGGCTTTGGAGAACGTCAAGCCCTCATTCGCTCCGACCCCAAGTGGCCTGAAGTAGGCGTTGTAGACTTGACTCTTTGTGAGGCCCTCGTCATGGTAAGTCATCTGTGCAATGAGACCTTGCCAGCCAAGACATTCAAATCTTCACACCCCGCCGCTCCTTTCAGCCTTCCATGATGCTGATGGAGTTCTGGTAGTTGAGCAGCTCTGGAGGTGGAAAGCCCACGTAGCAAACCGCACGCAAGGGCTCTGGCCTTCGCATAGGCAGAACGCCCTAGCTCCGCGCAAAAAGCGCAAAGCATGACAAAGCTTGGTTGGGTCTTGAGGCAGCAGCGGCAGGGACGAAAGCTGGATACGACCCTGAAGCTTTGCTTCCACCACTTTCTCGCCCTGCACACCAGCACCCAGTCTCTCAACATATCTTCATTCAAGGTTTCATCTGACCTGCAGGTATGCGGAGACAGAGCGGTGTTGGACTGAAAGTACCACCTTAGAGCCGATGGCGTCCGTTCTTTCAGCTTAAGCCCATAGTGCACCTCTGCTGGCAAGGGGCATGCATCCAAACCCGAGCTTTCACGAGAGCTAGCTCGCTTGCCGTCTTCCCGTCAACAACTGCCAGACACAGAAGCATACACTTGCCCAGCAGCAAAGCAAAGTTCAAAACATGTTTATCTTGCAATTCCATGCCCACAAAAACTTACAACGACATGCGTTCCATGTTGATGCAAGTGTGCCTTCCTCTTCGTTGTCTGGAGCCTTGCAGTCGTTCCCTAACCAAAGCTCAAGCCGACCGTCCTGCAGCAGCGGGGAGCATAATTTAGGACAGAATTCAGCTGATTGACAGCTGGTGCTGACCCTTTGATCTTTCTGGTGCCCAGAGAGCAAAGATGCAAAGCCTGGCGCTTTTGCAACTTTCCGCTCGCAACCAAAGGACTTGCAACGACTTTGCTGGGACAAGATACTGCATTCCCCTCCTCCCTGCATACAAAATGAAAGCAACTGTGTCAGCTATCGTTTATTGGCAAGCATCTAAACAAATTAAACCATCACTCCTGCCCCGAATGCCCGTGCCCCGCTGCAAGGGCAACCGAGATGACAGGCGTGCTGCTGCCTGCTGGCATGTAGTGACCTGCAGTATGTCAGGACGCTGGCAGCAAAATGTGGCACCTCTCCCAAGGATCAAGCCCATCAGAAAGTACGTCTTTCTGCCGAATTCGCCTCTTGACGTGGGCTCCTGCTAACAGTACGTCTCAAGAAACCTGAATCGGAAGCACCAAGGCAGGTGCCTGCATGTAGACCCAGAAGCTATAGGCAAAGGGCGGATGAACAATGCAGTAGCCTTGTCATTTGTAACAAGCACGCACCGGCATGACTGTGAGATCCCTCTCAGGCTGATGCTTGGTATGGAGAACGTGAGGCTCTGGGGCGGCAGGCCCTGCTAGGTACTGTATTCAATCGCAACTGCCTCACAAGAAAAGCCCGCCAAGTTCGGCCTGATAGCACTTTGTTGTCTTCGTGTCAGGCCTGCGGAGAAAAAAACAAAGTTTCAGGCAGCATCACGGCAAGACCTCCTACTGGAAAGAACTAAAGAACTTTCCTCGGTTCAGCAGGGCCCGTTGCATCGAATATCCTGAGGTCCCCACTGCTCCATGCACAGCTTTGAGAACTTGACCTGATTGGTGTTCTTCTCTTCTGAACAATGTTGCAGAGCTTACTTGCCATGCCATGCCACCATCTTGAATAGTCGCTGTTCTCGGAACGGCCTGTACGTACAACAACCTTCAAAGCTTCGCGGCGCTTGCAGGAGCTTTCCGAGGCCTCGCACTCAGCGCAGCAATAGCTCGGAAGCAGGAGGCGCCTCAAAATCAGCACACTCGACTCGCACTGCAGGAGCCAACACCGTTTGAGTGCTGCACGTAAGCTCGGCTCCTTGGAGCTCAGTAGCAGGGTGACGAACTTCAGCAAGTCCTGGTCATCACAATGCTGGGCTGCAGGCAGATTGCTAGGCATCACGGCTTAGGCAGCGACTGATTTCTTCAGCTCTTCTGGCAAGGCTTTCTCCTTGTCCCCTCCTTTTCCCACCTTCGTTCATGCAGCCAGGGCTTGGACAGGAAGGTGCTTTCATGAGAACCCTGGCAAAGCACTTGGAAGCTGCGTTTGTTTGACAGCCGCTGTGTCAGAAACAAAGCTATCTGCGCTGTACTTCGCACAGCAACAAAGCAGGCACTTCAATCACTTTCACCGATCTCAGAGTCCAGAGAGCTTCCTGTTTCCAGAGACCTCCCCAAAGCTGGACCATACTTGTGCAGCAGCTCTTGCCACGAGCCGTGATGCGCCAAATTCAGCACCTCCAAAGCTTGTTGCGTCTTGGCTAATTCCGCCCAACGCAGCAGCTTGCTCAAAAGAAAGGTTTCCTCGTCATCAAAGCCTTTGGGGATGCTCTGCAGCAAGCGAGCGACGTTGAACGGACGCTGACCAAACTGATGATTTGTGCTAGTCTCAGAGATTGCCTTCTCAAAGCAGTGCTGGTAGTCCTGACAGGGCATACTCACGAAACATAAACGAGTCAACACCCCAAACAGAAACCTGAAACTCCAAAAGGAAGACTTCGCAGGCTTCCAGTCAGTCGGGCCTGCTGGGATTGCACGGTCAAAGCACAGGCATACTGGTGCCTTCTCTGCAGCTTCTGCCGTGACAGCTCTTGGGTGTCATCTGGGCTGGCAGTCCAGTGTTGTAGCTCAGAAGGGTAGTCTGACGTGTACCAGGTGGAGTACAGCTCAAACTCCCCCAGCCCTAACAGTAAACGATCCCGAAGGCCAAGAAAATCCTCCATAAGTAGCCCCTCAGGCCGAAAGCCCGAAAAGGTGGAGTTAAAGCCGTAAGCAGAATACCAATTCAGCTCTGCAGCTATCTTCGTCACAAATGCCTCGAAATCGAGAAGTCTACCTGTTGCCTTACAATACTTGACGACCTTAAAACTTGGGTTGTTGTAGTACACAGGGCTCAAAGACGCCGTAAGCAGTATTGGCCCTGCACCTGGAGGTGGGTTTGGCAATATCCTAAACTCATCTTTGTGAACGTGGCCAAAAAGCTGCGCTGCAATCACACTCCCCAGTATTTGATCTTGTACAATCTCCAGGTATCTTGCAAGATACACCGGATGCCAAAGCTCCGTGTACCCAAAAGTTTCAATACCTGGCGGTATGTGTCCTATTATCCACACCTTCCGACTATCATGTACAGCTGCCTTCAGCTTGTGTGACAGCCAGGCAAACTGCCCAAAAGGATCCACCTCCAGCTGCGCGGGCTCGTGCCGCACAGAATAGATCACCGTTGCAAGACTCAGAATGGTGAGATTGCCCGCACGTGTCTCAAAGTAGCCTCCGTACTTGTACTCCTTCACAGCGTCAGCACCTAAAGACCAACTGGAACTCAACCTTTCTGCCACCAGGACAAACCAGTCATTGGCAGGCTGGTCGGATGTGATGAGTTGGAAGTAATTCCGCATTCCATCATCATTTCCAAGGGCACCGAAAATGGCCGGGGTGTCTGCAAAATGACCCTTGATGACTGATGCCACTTGTCCAATCACATTGGAAACGTTAGAATGCGGGTCTGGCATAAGCTCTATAGCATGCCTCGAGAAGTCGCCAGTGTAGAGCAAAAAAGATGTCTCGCGTCCCGTAGCTTTGGCGGCAGATGCTGCTGAGATCATCAAAGAGATTGGCGGGTCGCACCCCATCGCCCCGAAGGCTTGATCCTTCAGAGCTAGCAAGCTCTTCTTGCGGCACTGTCGAATGTCTGATGTGTAGAAGGGATCTCCATGCAAGTCGCTCATCCAAGTAAAATAGCCGTATTCAGATGGACCTTCACCAGGCTTCAGCTGCAGCAGTGCAGCATCGTCGCTCGGCGGACAGCCGACTTGTGCTGCGCTCTCCGTTAACACATGCCATGCCAGCAGGCAGCAAAACCGTTGGTACAGCATTGCAATGGCTGACCCTGCGGCACTAAAGATCTTCTCGGAAGACCACCAAAAGTTATAGCTTTGTGTTGGGTTGTTGGGTGCTGGTGCTACATGTCCACCAACTTTACTTGGCTGGGTTGTGCATCTCCAATCGCCCATCTCTGCATTGCTGACTACGTGGACCGGCTGCCACTCTGAACAAGGACTTGGGAGATGCTTGATCATGGTAGTTTCCCGGTTTTCCAAATAGGGGGAACCCCAAAATTGAACCCAAAACGCCACGATCCTCATTATGAGGAAACCCCAAAAAAGTTCCCTTAATGTTGAGACACCCCCACATGCACTGGAAAGCATAGCTATTTCTCCTGTGGTGTATCAGGGCTCCCGTGCCAAGGTCCAGAGTATTTGGACCTGGCTGCAAGCTATGCATCTTTGGCCGGCCATGCCGAGGCACATTCTCAGGGGGGTTTCGATTCGAATATCATGGACATGCTACTCTGGCCGGCAATTGGCCCTTAAAACATGTGCTCTTCTCTGGCTAGTGATAAAACCTCTCTGATTCTGTTCCCCAGTGCCTCCTGTAACTTGGAACTATGGACTGGCCAGGGCCACATCAGCTCATCGGTGCTCTCCCACTACGAAGTGTCTCACGCAAGCTGAACACGCATCGTGCGTCCTCATAAACTCAGAACAGAGTTGGCCCAATTGTGCCCAGCTTGCTGTCTGCACAGTCCTTCGCTGAGGGGTTTGCACAGCACAGGCTACTGTTGATGTCTACCTGCACTTTGCGATGTGCTCAGGCTTCCCAGCTCGAAGTAGCGCTTGACTTGACAGGGGACACTGGCTCCACACCGGTGTCCCGAGCATTCACTGTCGGCCTGTAAAAGAATCGAATATAGAATACTGCTTCCTCCGCGCTACTCACACTTACGCCTGGGCGTTTACAAAATTCAAATTTGGCACACGGAATCTTCATGGAACGGTCAGCCATCTTGTGTCCTAGTACTGCTACAGGGACCCTTTGTGAGCATCCTGACCATGTCGTGGGTACGAGTATGCTGAAGCAGCCGCGAAACTGTGCAGCTGGCATGTGCCACAACACCCGTGCAAGCAAGGTACCAGAACAGCTCCCCGCTCCGAATTAGGGCGCAGCGTCAAAGGTGCACCTCTCAGCTGTTGACTGTCTCAGTTGCTTTGTACAATTCCCAGCCACGTGGGAGGGGCGACTCATCAGGCAACTTGAGGTGCCCTGCTCAAGAAGCCACCAGTCTCGCCATGGCCAAAAGCCAAGTAAGCTCCGAAATCCTGCCACAAGGCACGTCGCGGCTGCGCAACTGCAAGCCCGAAACAGATGGCCTTCGCAAACTGCTCGCTATGGGTCCCAATCAGACTTTGGAGCTTGTTGTTCAGGCCTGAAAGCAGCTTGCAACAGCTCGCGCACACTAGTCAAAAGGCTCATGAGGCTGGGGCTGTGGATCCGGCTCAGCGACATCCGCAGAAGACCGATGCCCTGCATTCTGCAAAAAAGTCAGGCTCTGGCCCTGTCTCATCTCTGCATTGGTCGTTCTCATTTTCCACGGATGTTCATCCGTTCATACAACTAGTGTCTATGGGTGCATGTGTGATCTCTGCGAACATGTGTCAAGACAGATCAAGCCACCCCTCGTGGTGGAGTGCGGTGCCGGATGATCACCGAAACCCGTACTGAATTCAATGTGGAAAAAGTTGCAGAATCTGCGCGCGCATCATTGCTGTGACAGTGGGCACTTTGAGACTTTATCAGGATGCGGAAGCCCAAAAAAACTTAGAGGATGTCAACCCCAACGGCTGTTGGTGACATGCCACAATGATGTCATGGTCCCAAGATGCGGCTTACGAGCATTACAGCTTTGAGGCCCCGGAAACAGGCGGTGCGCCCACGATTCCATAATTCCAGTCGTTGGCGCGCCGGAGGGGGATTGGGAGAGGGGAACGATATGTAAACAAAGCATGGCAAACAAAAGACCGAAATCAAGCATGGACGCTCTTTATCACAACCACCACCTGCACAATCTTTTTTAGTCAGCACAATACGACGACTCAAGCCACCACAGCAACTAGCACCGTTGCTTTCAATAGTCGACGCATAGGCTGCACTACGTTTTCAACTGCAAGTCACACCGTCCGAATCATTCGTACTTGTAGCTGCTATGAGTAGTGCCAGTTCTGAGTTCCAGATTAGGGGCCATGGCGAGGACGCAGGCACTACGTTTTCTATGCCATTGTTGGTATCATTAAATTGTGCAGACGTTTTGCTCACCATGTCCACCTCTCAACATATTGCATGGGTATGCATGGGTGATATGGGTGGCAGGCACAAGACACACGACCGAAGAAGGGGGACACTTGGGCCTCTCGTGTTGATGTATAATGATGGATAGGGAAGGAAGGAGTGAGGGGTGGTCGGAGATTCAAGGAAAACAGTCACTTATTTCTGGAGAATCGCAAATTCCAAATCTATCCCGAGCAAGTTTTGAGCACATCCAAGTACGATTCCACCAACATCTGCAGGGTAATCTTTTGCATAAATACCAGTAGACTATGTTGTTCCAATCCAATTTGAAATGTGGCTGGATGAAGGCTCAAACCTGTTTCAGGATGTCGTGCAACACCAAAAAAAACAATACATTGGGTGTACTTTCTTTGCGGCCCTGACAAGAGCCTCCACTGGCTGCGACAAACAAAGAATCGCGAAATGTCTCAATCTTTTGGCGGTCTTGGTCCTTACAGCCTAACAAAGTTGTGATCTCTCGGCCTTTTCAAGCTTACGAAATGCTGAGGGATCCCAACGTGTTGGTAAGCTGAGCGCAAAATGCAAGCAAGTCCCATTCAAGCTTCAAGCCAAGCAAGCTACCACTAGGGCGAAAGATTGGCTGAATGGGTTTTATTGGGAAGTCTTTGTTTCTTGTGGCTTGCGTTACTTCAGTATAGTGTTCGCATGATAGGCATTCTAGATAGAGAGCCCTAAGATCTTGTCAAGGTCTGAACTCCGGACCTGAACCCGGTGAGTCTGCCTATGAGAAGGTTGGCCTATGCTACAAGAAGATACACACCGTAAAAATGTGTTACAAGCTTTTGTACTAAACCCAAAATCTTCGAAGAAAAGTCCGAGTGGCCGGTGAGGAGTCCACCGAGAAGGAGTCACGAGCCACCTGAAGAAGATGAGACTGCCAAAATGAAACCTGCAGCCCCTCTGAGAACAGGTGAGACCTACAAGGACTCAAAAAGGACTCTGCGGATATCTCTAGGGAGATTGATGCAACAGCTCTGCTTCTGTTGGAAAAAGGTCTGTGCCTGAAGCATCTCAATGGCTTCCCGAATCCTTCCTGTGAGGCGCAAGCACTTTTAAGATCACCTTCTCTGCCTTCCGGCTTCTACGGGGAAAGCACCTTCATCCGTTTCGAGCTTCTGCCGGATCCTCATGATGTCTTCCACCGTGCACCCCTCCTCAATGCAACCTGACCAAAAGCTTGAAACGCTTCGCGATGGACGGAAAAAGCACCATATCTGGCCTGCCGCCTCTTCCTCAACAAAGTGGGTTGCCTCAAAGCCAGTTCGCAAGTTAGTGATCAATGCGGTGCTCCATCGAGAGTGGGTGCCCGCCTCTGGAAGTGGCAAGTGCCGCTCTTCCGCAGCCTGAAACTTACTGGGGCTTAGTAAAAGCAATATGGGAATATGCTATATAAGATTATAGAAGATTATATGGGGATTGTATTTCCTCATTCCCTACTAAGAACCAGCAATGAAATCGCAAGGACATCTGATAGGCATACAGTCTAGGCATGGCTGGGGCACTATGCAAGCCACAGTCAACCATCAATCTGGCTCTTTCACGTGGGGCTTTATAAAGGACTCTACCTACCACCGCCAGCTATGTCTGCCCTAGCATTTTGTTACACACGCCACACAAAGGGGACACCAATATTTTGCTATGATCCTCATTATGGGGACCCCCAACAAAACCCTTGATCTTGGGACACCCCACTTTAATGTTGACAGGAAATCATGTGGCCGCCTCTGTGGTGCTTTCATCGACGGCCTTCCGTGAGATGCGGGGTTGAAATGCCGGATTTGCTGCTCAGAAGCATGATGCATCGTCGCAATAAAAACTTAGCTCTATGCACGTCGGAGCACACGACTGCTTGGCCTGAAAGGGACTGATGTGTAGCAGACAGAAACAGAACATCGCCAGTCTGTAAAGCCAAATGACTGGTGAGGGGAGGAGACAAAGGAGGGGCCAGCCAGGTAGCCGAAGGCGACCTGCACATGCATCAGCCGAACTCAGTCTGGCAGCTGAGGTCATCTGCAGCAAAGGCACGGCAAGGGCTACGAGTCCGCGAAGCGTGCGAGGAGCCATAGGTTCTACCCAAGAGATCGGGATCTCACGCTTTTGGGGCGCTTGAGACAAAGGCTTCAGGTACAGACTCGCAAGAGTAGGTCCTTGCGTGCTGCTTTAACATGCGATACAACCAACTTGACACAGCTAGACAGCTAGATGCCTCCAAGAAATCATGTGGTCGACATTGCGTTTCGGCAAAGGTAGGCTGCCATCCTGACAAGTCACGCAGGTGCTGATGCTAAGACACCTATCCCTGCCTTCTGACAGGAGAAGTGCGTAGATCTCGGCAACATGGTACAGAACCTTGCATGCATTTGGACGCCAAAAAGCCACCAGGGACATGCTTGCTGAGACCCTCCTCCAGCAAACCTCCCATGCCTCATCTGCTTACTGAAAACAAGGATGATCTGCAGCGCCCAGGAAGAGGAAGGATGCGAGGAAACGGTGCCACACAACAACGACACCATGCCATGACACAAGTCACAGGAAACATGGCCTGATATTGATCGAATTTTGATTGCATTTCTGTGGGCGGACACGGCCGAGGAGTCAAAAGACCAAACCACCCTGGAACCACCACCGCCGCCGCTGCTGTCTCCGCAATACGCAGCAGGCTTCAAGCACGAAGACGTACGGCAGAGGCGCAGTGCAGGCATCATGTGAGCTGCAGTATGATGATCTTGTGGATCATACTCCCAAACAATGGCCTGCCCGGCCCAATGGCCAAGGTGCCACAACATCAGTCAGGAATTGTGCCGGCGCTGCTCGCACGTCAGCATTCCGAAGGGAGTGGGGAAGCCACTTGACAAACCGGACTCCTTTGAGTTCAGAAGGGCGTTCTGAAATATCCTTCAGAACGTGAACGTTCTGCAAGCCAGGCTATCGAGTATGCTAAGGATTCAGTCAGTCCAGACAGCTCGGTTTGCAAAGGGTGAAAGAACGTCCTCGCTGTGAGGGTTTGAGGTAGGGGTCCTCGCGAAATTATGGAGGTCAGTATTGTGCAGTGCTCATCCAAACTTGGATCATCTTGTCAAGTCGCATCCACTTGCTGACACAAGAGGCCAGTCACAGAACATATCGGACACGTATTAGAAATATGTCAGATCTCCCTACGGCCAGGACATTCCGACAGCTAAGCTTACGCTACCTGCTTGACCATGACAACAGCAGGCTAGTGGGGGCCGTTCTCGATTTCGATCCCCTTGTTTGCGCACCTTGCCTTGCCTTGCGACGCATCCCCTGGCCGAAGGGTCCTTTGCCTTACCCTTTATTGCTTCGGCCCCGGCTTGACCCACCTCCTCCTTTTGTTCTTTCAGGTCGACCCCTCCAATCCAGCCCAAACGAATACTTATGTATGCCTCGTGAATGGGCTCGTAAAATCTACGGCTCCACGTGCCAACAGCACGAATCCCGAAGCCCTGCACAACCTTGCAGCCATGCCGAACTCCTCATTCAACACCTTCCCTGAAACCAACTTGCCTCTCCCCTTGATAGGATTTCCGCCCTCGCACTTCAAACCGTGACAAGGGAAGCCTGTCCCTTGATGCTGCGACCAGGATACTTTGGCATGCGCCGGCTTCAGCATACCGTCTTTGGTTGCAGCCGTCACGTAGAACAGCCTGGTGCGAGGAGCATGCCACGAAATCTACGGCAAGAGCAAAGACATGCCCGCAAGACAGTGCTGTGAACGGTGATGGCACAACCTCCTCGAGCACCTGAGCATTTCTTCTAGCAGCAGGCAAACATATGATGGAGCACATGACAAGCCTGCTCCACTGTTTGAATCTCCATTCTGGAAGCCTTTGTTGTTGTTGCAGCTGCAGCAATTTCCTGGCCACACAGCTATTCACTTCTGCATATAGATTGCCCAAAACATGCCGATGGCTGCAAGCTTCTTGCTGCGGACTTCCATCTTGTCATCCGTAACACCAAGAAGCTGTGCCAATACCTTACACCAGATACTGTTCTACCCATGGACGGACACACAAGGGTACAGATGCGAACAACAGCTTGAACCAAGGTGCGTATGAGATTGTCTTGATCCACCTGCACAGGTGCACTCAACCCAGGATTGCAGTAGCCAGTGCGTTTGAGCAGCAGGATCAGCAGGCAATCAAACTCCAAGGAAGTGCAAGGCAGGGAAAGTCAGACAAGACAGCCGGCAAGCGCAGAGTGGCGGAAAATAAAAGCAACAGAGATGCATCCGCTTCAGGAAAAGGTTTAGCCAACCCATGGCCAAACAGATCAAGGCAATCCAAGGCCGAGCAAGCAACAAGCTCAGGAGAGCAAAAAAGAGACTGGCGGGTCGCTTGAGAACCGCACTCTTCGCGGCGTCTGCGTTTCATGATGTCCTCAGTTCACTAGGATGAAAACAATTGCACGGATCACCCGAAGCAACATGGAAATGTCAGCACACAGCCCATGGCCAGGAACACGGGGACATGCTCCCAGTTCGGACCACCAAGCCTTCCAAGAAGCGTTGTCCAACGAAACGTCGTGCGATGCTAAAGCATGAAAGCCCAAGCTCATGGCATCGCGTCACGAAAAGCTGGAGTTCCTGCGACATAGCTCTTCCCACAACTCGCGATGTGTTGCAGGCTTGGATCGCGGCTGGATAGCACAAGCATCGTCTCTCCAGCAACCCTGACCTGACATGGAAACTTGGAACAGCTCAGATGCTCTCAGTCTGGCCCTCCATCTTCTGAATCTACTGAGCAGGGGACCTGCTCCTCCAGCAAAACAAGCCTGGCACAGGCTTCTCTGCAGGCATTGCTTTGCTGTGCTCAGCAATGCATGCCACAGCGAACTCTGCGTCTCCAGGGCGTGCAGCTTCAAGGCGATGGATGATGTCAAGGGCCAAGCGCAAGAAGGGAAAGACCTGTAGATTCAGCAATATGGCATGAGAAACTTCAGGAAGGCTATCTTCACGTCCGGCCGGCACGCGCTCAGGATTCAGTCCATCCAACGGCGTCTTGTCCTCACTGGACTCCAACTCCTGATCAAAAAGTCACGCTGAGCTTCTGAAATGTATGTACCTTTTGACGTCCGACAGGCTCCTTCGCCAGCACTGCATAGCACCAATTGCAGGCCTGGATCACTGCCTGGGCTCTACAAGACTTAGATGCTTGAGTCCTGGAGGCCAGATAACCACGCAAACTATTTTGATCTCGGCACCAGCGGCACGCCACGAATGGCTGTGGCATCATGTTCAGGTGAGGGTAGAAGCATCCCGATGATGTCCTGCGCATATTCTTGTGGTGCACAAGGGCTTTCAATGTGCCAAATTCGCCATTCGAACTCAAGCAGTTAAAACCCCCATCCACTCTAATGTTAGATTTTCTCAATATAACATTTGAGGGGCGAGCGGAGGCCGACGAAAGCTTGCCGTGCTTGAGCACTGCAGCAGAAAAGGGGGGAAGGTACATGCCAGCAAGAAGCACAAGCCTTGTTAAGGGGCCTCCCAACACGTCGCCAGCTCGACGCAACTGTCAGCTTCACTACGTTCATTTCTGGTCACTTTGCACTCCCTTCTGCTCTCCACTTTCCCCATTCTTTGCTCCACTTTTCACTCCACTTTCCAGTCAACTCTACACCCTCACTCCAATTTTCACTCCACTGTTATTCACTTCACTCTCTGCGCCACTTGCCACTCCACTCTGCATTATACTCTCCGCCCACTCGCCAGTCTACTTTCCTCTCTCCACTGCATTTTTCACTTCACTGATTCTTCTTCCGTGGGGTATGCAGAACTCTAAGGCTCTGCTGCTGGGGCTAGGCCCCGGCCCCGCACCTCGCTCTCCACCTCAGGTTCCACTTAGACATGCACATCGCTCAACGCAGGTTGAGGGTTATGGTCTGCCCTGGAATGTAATTCTATGTTCTATGTAGCTGACTACTCCCATGAACTTTTAACATATACCTTGCTTGAGAACTTGCCAGCACTCACCAAAGTCCTAGATATTGACAACTCTTGAGGGATTAGGGTTTCAGTGTTGAGGGTGTTAAGTGCACATGCATTATTCGCTGACTTATTGTTAGGCTCCTTGATCTTCTCCCGAATACAGAAGAGTGTGCCAGGCAGTGCAAGGGCTCTCATGTACTCTCGACGCCACATGCCCAAGCTGTGAAGGTGGGACTCATTATCGTCCAGCCATGAAGGTCATGGGTCTCGTTCTGGCTGAGGTGTGAATCCTCCACATGCGCTCCTGGAAAAGCACAGCATCCACAATGATGAATTGAGCTGGCTCGGCCATTGTGTACCATTGGCAAAGTGGCGGCAAAAGCCTGACCTTTCTGTCGCTGCTGTCACCTGCTGTTACCCCTCTAGCCTTCTATCCTATGCGACGAAGACACGAAACCATCCATAAGCGACGACATGCCCGCGACTGTGGGTGAAGACGCGATGCTCCAAAAGTGGCCACAGTTGCAAGGATGGCGACCCCGAGGGGTCCATCCCTGTCACTTTTCACACGCAACAAACACGTGACTCTCCGAAAGCAACAACTGCCACCAGGATGGCTACCCCAGGGGGCGTCCTTTGTGTGACTGTTGGCACTTATGAACTTTTCACACGCGACGAAGAAGCGACGCTTCCGCGCGGCCCGGCCCCATGCCCCATGACTGTTAGCACTTTTGACACGCGAAGCAGCAACGACGGGCCAAAAGCGACAACACTTGCACGGGGATGGTGACTGCGCGAACGCTTCATGAGTACCATGAACATGCCAGGCCAGTTAACACTGAAAAAAGGAGATTTGATGCAACGACCAGGCATGATGTTATTAGTACAATTAGCAACCACACGTGACGCTATTCCTGCCAATCCTCTCCCAAAAAGGATCAATCACATGAGACCCCCTCCCCCCAAAGACATCCATGGTTCGTGTGAAACCTTGCCCCCCCCCCCCTCCCCCCATTCTCCAAATTGATCATTTCCTGTGAAAGAATCACGCTCGACCCGCCATTCCATGTTGTGATACATCACACCATACGCCGTATTCCAAACCTTGAAGGCTACCACTGCTAAAGCAAGACTAAACTGAAGCCTAGCTCTGCTAACTTTCGTGATATACCACAATGGGAATAATAACTCAATATTAGGGCAGTGCAAGCTGCGGCTGCAGGTCATCCTCAAAATGGCCGTTCACCAAGAGGTCGTTGACAGAACTTCGAGGTATACTGCGGAACACAAACACGGGCACCACCTTGAGTACGAACTCCTGTGTCATGTCACTGGTCATGATGTTCCCTGTTGCGTCTCCCCTGGGCTTGTTGTGATCCTGTCCTCTTTGCCGTCGCCCTTACTAGTTGCCCGATCAAAGCCACAGAACACTCTGCCTGCAAGCAGCTAGTGCACACTGCGAATTCGGATGACAGCAGGATTTGCAAAGGCCTTGTGATATCTTGGCAAATCCAGGCTTGAAAGCCACTTTGACAATGTCTCCTCCAGTCGGCCACACGGCGTGTTTGAAAGAAAGCAACTTCGTGATTGCATTTTTGCGTCAACCTTACCCCTACCTCAGCCCTTTTGTGAGGCTACACCTCCGACCTCTTTCGAACTGGTAGCAAGGTTTAGACTATGACTATGCCATACCAGTGTCATGCTGAAAGGAATTGCCCTGAAAGCAGCTGGCCTGCTGCGCGTGTGCTCAGTGGAACTCGAGCTTTGTCTTCGATCCTCACTTCAATTGTCATGCTGCAAACTCATCCGTCTGTTGCATACCTGCTGCATCCCCTTGCTGTGCGAGAGGCTGCAGTTCCCGACAGAAACACCAAAAGGTTACCTAAGAAATGCAGTTGGGCATCTCCAACGACATCGCCTCATCTGGACCTGCGTTTGCCCCACAGAGTCCAATAAGCTTCTGGGAGGCAGAGGGCATTCTTGTGACGTTGGACTCGTGCCAACACAGGGAGAGTGTGAGCTAGATGCACTGCAAGCACAGTACTCACTCTAGAATTATTCAGGCGCACCTGTTGGAGTCAGCAGGATATCTGTGTTCATGGCCTTCTTACTCTCGCAGAGAACCTGAGTCTCCCAACAGCAAACATGAACTGAATCACATCGGTGATTGAGGTCGTAGCCTTCACACTTATCGCTCCTGGCACCTCAAACGGCAAGGAATGGAAGACCTTCGTGCTGTCGTCCAGGATTTTGTCCTGTCGCATGCTGTCATGACACAGGCTTGCAGGCATTTAGAAGGACATTTCTGCAAGTCGGTGACTGAGGGCTTGGCGAGCGTTGTGTCTGTAGGAAACCGCTTCACCAGCTCGGTCACCTCTATGCCATGCGTGCTTGACTGTCATAAGCATACGTAAAATCTTACACAGAAACTTGGTCGCATGCAAGTCCCGTGGACAAGTAGGTCAGTACCATTCCTGGCATTCAAACAGTGGTTAACTTGGTTACATGCGCAGCACCCAGCCGGCTCTACTGGATGCAAAGGTTGCCACAGCGTCAGCTGCTTCAGGCTGCCCTTTCGTTCGCAGCAGCTTCGCCGAACTGGGCACAGGATGCATAAGGGACACTTGAGCGGGGGTCAAAACCCTTATCCGGTTTCTTTGACAGTAAGGAATTTGCTTACGGTGGCTT